GGCGGGCGGATTGCCTGACCTCCGGAGTTCAAGACCAGCCTGGGCAACATGGTGAAACCCTGTCTCTACTAAAATACAAAAAATTAGCCAGGTGTGGCGGCGTGAGCCTGTAGTCCCAGCTACTTGGGAGGCTGAGGTAAGAGAATTGCTTGAACCAGAGGCATGGGTTGCAGTGAGCTGAGATCGAAACACTGCACTCCAGCCTGGGCAAGAGAGCAAGATTCCATCTCACACAAGCCAACAAACAACAAAATAAGGCAAGAGTGAAAAGCTGCTGTTCCATGAAGAGCACCATGATGAATTTTGGGATTCATGCCATTCAAATGAAGACCAACTCTGCTACCCTTGAATCTCCTGCCACTTACCTCATTGCTTTGGGGCTTCCATTTCTGTTATTTGTGTGGAGTTCTAAGTTATTCTCTGCAGAACCACTTTTTTCTGTAGGGGGAGGTGTGGGGATGGGAAGCAGAGTTTGTAAGTTTTTGTTAAAAGCGGAAGCCTTGGAAAAATACAATACGTAAAGAGAACGTTTGCCTGCCCTTCACTGGGAGTAATCTGCACTGATGTTCTGCCCCTGCGGTCTGAGCTGTCTCACTGAAATACAGGCTTCTTATCAAACGGGTTCTCAAAGGCCACTTTGTGCCTTCCTCAGATTCACCTTACTCTGCCAATTTCCAACTTGGTTTCCACCTTCTAATTTGGGAAGTGTTGAAATCAGAAAGGCAAAGAGATGGTCTGGGTGTATTTGGCTTTAGGCCTCCCTGACAGCCTCCAAACCTCAAAATTACCAAAAATACAAACTATCGGGTGATCCTTCTCTTCTACCAAACAAGTCACTTTTGGTCCCTTTAAAGACCAAGTTCTTCTGCTGCATGTAAAATATAATTGGTTTGATTCTGCAGGAAGAGATCCTGACAGAAAGGGAAGGCAGATCTAGATTCCCAAGTCACCGCTGTCATGGCCTGACTCATGGTGCAGGGACCTCATGGTGCAGGGCTAACGATGTGCCCCGCTGAGGCCATCTGTGGAGTCACAGTGTGGCTACCCAGTGAGGCACACTTGCGCTTATTAAACAAAGGCAATCTGGGCAGAGGGGCCCACAGCAGACAGCAAAGACAACAGAAGGCATAATGGCGCACGCTGTGCTATAAGGAAAAGTTGCCACGTCCATGGAGGGAGAACGTCGCTATCTTGCTCCCAGGACACTGAGGAAAGCCAGGGCTCCAGTGGGGATCTCCACGACATGATGGACCTTATGCTCCATCCCCAGTGCCCAGCGCAGAAAATGTACAGAAATAATGTTTGGAAGTGAGAGGCTGTATCGCCTACAAAAGCTCTTAAGAGGGGCACAGCCTGTAGGTAAACACAAAGCCACAGAAGGATCCCCTGCTGCCCACTGAGCCACGGAATGATTGATTCCCTTTTAGAGACATGGTCACATCTTGAACTCAGAATGATAACTTCTATTTGGCCTGGCTGTTCCTCTCCTCTAGGTTTACACACTTTGCATAGATCTGCATACATCTGGCTTGGTCTTTGATCCTATTCACCAACAGGGAAAAAAACCAATAAAGAGATGTCAGATTCCAGTCCTGTTTCCCCACAGCCGAAGGGAGATGACAGCAGCTCCAGCTTTGAGCAGGACACTCAGCCCTCACAACACTGTATAGACGAGTTGGCTTGTTACGGGCTGCTTGTGGCTTGCACGCCACTCCAGTGATTAGACTTCAGTAGTTTCTGTCTCTTTAGAAGCCAGCTTGGTTGCATGGCTCAGAAACAAAAGGGCCCCGTGTGCCACTATGTGATAACAGGTAGTTTTAGCGTTCTGACACACACTGCCTACTGCAGAGGAGGAGGTTACTCACCCTCCAGCCTGAGCCTTCTGGGAACCCAATGCCGGCCCTTCACCCCAGAGCCCACCCCACTGCATCTGGCCACACAGCACCACTCCCTCCTGGGCAAGCCTGGTACATTCTCTCACGTGCTGATTCCTGACCACCCCTTGCCTGCCTGGGGTGTCCAGGCCTCAGTCTGGTTGGTTTCCAGTTGAGTTTCAGCAGTTACGCAAATCAGGTTTCTGACTGTGTCTGAAATTCCAGTGCATACAGGAACAGCAGGTTGCTTAATCTCTAAATTCAGAGCCAACCCCTTTTCTAAATACAAAAGTGCTGCCTAGCTCCCATGGTAGATTCAAGGACCCAACCCTCCCAGCTCTGACAGCCTGGCTCATCAAGCATACGGGCGCCATCTTGTTTTCCAGGCCTTACCTCCCGTGGGGCACCATGCTATTCATATTTTCATCCTTCCTCACTTGTTTTGTGAAATGAGGCCCCACCCCCATTCTCCTCTACTGACAACATCCCATTTCCAAATACAGGAGAGATGGTTGAAATGCCCTAGCAGTAAACTACCATCTCCCGTGAGGTGCTTCCCCGTGTTTCTGCAATGGACAAAAAGCTACTGACAAAGTCAGCTCTGTATCTAGGCCTGAGGTTTCGACACAAGTTACACATGAATAAGGCCACCAGATTTTCCTCTTCCTTGACTAGAAATGACATTAACAATGAAATACTGTGCTGAGTAGAAGAGAACTGCATGTTCGGGGTAAGGCTGGAGGGGTGAGGGTCGGGGGTCCACAGTGAGCTTTCTTAGAGAGCCATAAAGAAACACTGTTCCAAATATAAGAAAACATGGTATTCAGCTGCCTTTTTAAAAATAACAAAAAACATCCTTTTTTATCAAAGTGGCAACATGAAACACTCTCAGACTGTGGAAGTCTAGCCAGCATTCAGTAGGCAAAAGTAAGAAGTGAATGATTTGTGTGATTTAGCGGACGTTTGGTCCCCTCTGGGTTCTTCCAGTAGGCACACAGTCGATACATGGCTGGCTCATTGGTATCTTCTCCAGTGGAAAAAGGGTGGAAATCCAACCACAAGCACACAGTTCATCTAATATTTCTTTACTATTGATGGGACGCTGCAGAAAAGCTTCAACTTCCTAACTCCCGAATCTACCCACTTGGAGGCGATGGCACCATTTAACACAGACTAAGAAACTAAAATCAGTTTCCCAAACAGCAGCCCATTCAAATCACTGAGGACTTAATCTGCCGCATCAACCCACCAATCACGCTGTTCACCAATGATATTAAAAAGTCAACAGGTCAGGGTGGGGTGCTGGGTTCGGTGGCTCACACCTATAATCCTAGCACTTTGGGAGGCTGAGGTGGGCAGATTACTTGAGGTCAAAACTTTGACACCAGCCTGGCCAAGATAATGTCTCTAAGAAGAAAAAAAAAAATCAACAGGCTGACCAGCAAACCAGCACATTTTATTTCAGAAGATCAGATAGGCCTTGTGGGTCACTGTCTCTGTCCTATATTCTTGTTTCTTCAACTCTTTAAAATGTAAAACACATTCTTAGCTCCCAGGCCACACAAAAACAGGCGAGGACAGGGTGGATTTGCCCAAGGGCCATAGCTTGCTGAACACTGCTTCCAGGTGGAACCCTGGGAAGGAGCCTGTCCCCGACTCAGCTTAAGTCACTGTAGATAGGACCTGGGACAGATGAGTCTGAAGGATGGGAGACAAAGGGAGCCTACACAACAGGTGAACAGTAGGCAAGAAAGAGCAAGAGTTGGGGTGGGAATTGTAGGAATATAGGGTGAAAATTTTCCTAAAAGACCACAGGAGTTGGTGTTCCTCCTCCCATAGAAGGCTAGCTATGAAATGCTGAGAAATCACAAGGAGAAAGACACTAGCAATGATGTGTGGGCTTGCTTGACTAAACAGTCATCCCCCAGTCCTCCAAAAATGCAAAGCCACATAACGTGGCCACCATGGCATGAGGATGACCACAGCATGAGGACGCCAGCCAGGCAGTATGCAGCAACCAAAGCAGCTCCCACTTCTGCCTTTTCAGACACACTCCTGTGGCTACGGGGCATTCTCCAAACCTCAACACAGAGTTCCAGGATTCAGGCTGGGCTACTCTACTCAAACAAAGTTCTCTACCTACCTCTGATGTTCTTCTCGGGCTGACCACGCGCACCAGTTCTATCCAACCTCTTCCATGTTAGACCAATCCCACAGCACTCTGACCACTTCAGTAGGGGGAAAGCATGTCAGATCATCCCAGTGCCCATGAGAAGGCCTAGAAATGATTCAGAACCCCAGGCTGGAGATGATCTTTATTCTGTTCTTCTACTCTTATCACAAGCCCCAAACCTGACAACGGAAAGAACACCCTGAGACTCAGCTACCATCATGGGAATCGAAAATCAGTTTTAAAATTATCCTTGCATGTGGCTGCCACCCATGGTCCTCCCCATTTATTTTCTACTTCTGAGTGTGAAACGTCACTGTGACAGTTTCCAAGCCTCTGCACTCCCCCTACTCCATGACAAATATTCAGGATTCACACTTCACTTTCACACTGCTTTCCAACCCCCTGACTTAGAAGCTGAGCAGAGGCAGCCTGCCTTAATGGAGAAAACATTAGTGCATTCGGGATTCGCTCTGGATCCCAGTCAATTTCAGGATATTTCACAGCTGTTACACATCCACCTCCTTTCTTACAAAAGCCAGCAAAAATTAGTGAGCACCTCATTGGCTCTGGAATCTAAAAATATAGCCACAGTCAAGCCTGAAAATCAGTTTCTGGTTGACTCCCTTCAAAGTATTTGTTCTAAAACACAGTGTCTGAAGTTCATTTATTATCTGCCAATTTTTAAATGAGTTTTAGCTTCAATCCTACATGCTTTTGTGTAATTTTTTTTTTTTTAAGCAACTCTCAGAATAAAACTGTCATTTGGTCATCAGACAAGTAACTGAGAAAACTCTTGCTTGGGAAGACATCAGTATGATTCCAGCTGAGTCTTTTCTTTACATTATTAATTGCTCATCTCTCATATAATTAAAAAGAAACCTTTGGAAGACCTGTAAGTTTTGTGTGAGAGAAAATGTGACTCTCTTCACCACTCAGGTCTCCCCTCCTACCTGCTTTACGGCTGGTCAGGTGAACGTGCCCTGCTGTGCTTCAGCAGCCTCTGGAATGGGACAGACTCCAAAGTTGGTTGTGCTTCATTTCCCTTCTCCATTGAGGTCTTTAAAGTCCTGGGTTATTAACTATCAACAAAACACAAGCTGCGCCATGTGTGCTCCAACTTCCTGCCAGCTCCCCATGCTCCGTGGAGCTGAGGAGCAGATTCTCTCTTTCTCTCTCCTCCTGGCTTCACCTCCTGAGCTCCAGAGCCCCACCCACCCACAGCACTCAGATCATTTTTCATTTATGAGTGCATCCAGCCACATTGTGTTTGTAAAAGAACAAGCCAATCCTTGCCCTGCCAGTGTACTGGAACCAGGCTGCTATAAACAGTTCTCATTTTCCAGGAGTATGGGGGGAAATCAAATCCCAGCAGATGTCATACATGGCTTCCTCCTGCAGGTATCTGCAGATCAGCTCTTCCATCAGCCAAGGACACACACCTGGCTGGCCACAGCCCACAGCTGCTTCATTCTAGACTGCCATGGAGGTGGACTGAAGATTTCAGGCAGGAGAAAACCAAATGTGCACTTCACATAACTAAAAATGTGAAGCTAGGATGATCAGTGAAGAAACTTTCCACCCAGTGACCTAGTATTTCACAATGAATTTAATCTGTCTTGCACTTATTAAAGGGCCAGGTTTTTTTTTTAAAATGCATTCAAATACAAACAAAAATCAAAAGAGTTTGAAATATTTTATAAAGAAATCTGTTGGGAAATAAAAGCCATTTGTCATGATGACACCAAATCTACCAAGTTTTTTTTCTTTTTCCTTTTTTTTTTTTTTTTGAGACACAGTCTCAGGCTGTCGCCAGGAGTGCGGTATCTGCTCACTGCAACCTCGACCTCCCGAGTTCAAGCAATTCTCCTGCCTCAGCCTCCTGAATAGCTGGGACTACAGGCATGTGCCACCACACCCAGTTAATTTTTGTATTTTTAGTAGAAAAGGGGTTTCACTATGTTGGCCCGGATGGTCTGAATCTCCCGACCTCATGATCTGCCTGCCTTGGCCTCCCAAAGTGCTGGAATTACAGGCGTGAGCCACCGCGCCCGGCCAAATCTACAACTTCTGTACTCTATGCTTCCAAATTCCACTGTAGACCAGTACTAGCAAAAGCAGAAATTATCAGTCAGCCCTTGAGTTGCTGAGAACATCAGCAGCTTTTACTGACAATATGACTTTTCTAAGGTTTTTTGAGAAATGGAACGTTAAAAAATAGGTTTCCCTAAACCAACATACGTAGATAGTGGTTTCTATTATGTGTAAAATTTGCCTTGTTTTACAGCTGAAGCAAAAGGGGTCTTGCATGATGCAACAGCCAGACACTGTCGTAGAATTTTGGAATCTTTATTCCAAGAACCTTTGGTGTAGGTATAAAAATGTACATACACAACTTGGAATGGCATTTTCTTAATTCCAGTACTCACAAGGTCCTTTATTAGCTACACTTGCAAGGGACAATAGAAGCAAACATCCTCTGTTTTCTTCTTGCAGCCACTTTTTTTTTTTTTTTTTTGAGACAGGGTCTGGCTTTGTTGCCCAGGTGGGAGTAATCTTGACTCACTGCAACCTCCATCCTCCAGGTTGAAGTGATTCTCCTGCCTCAGCCTCCTAGAATAGCTGGGATTACAGGTGCTTGCTACCATGCCTGGCTAATTTTTATATTTTTAGTAGCGATGGGGTTTCACCATGTTGGCCAGGCTGGCCTCAAACTCCTGGTCTCAAGTGATCCGCCCACCATGGCCTCCCAAAGTGCTCGGATTACAGGCATGAGTCACCACCCCCAGCCAGATTTGGGGTTTTTTTTTTTTTTTTTTTAGTATATTCATTTATTTTAGAGTTTTATCCAGTATAAATTCTTCCCCTAGGAGTCCTGTATTGTCATAACCTAGTTCCAATCACAGTGAGAACTTTTTGAAACTGCTTCTACATTTTCCATATATTAAAAACACTGATGGCTTAGTATCTGGACTTAAGTCTTTTTTTTTTTAAGATGGTTAAAATATCTCCTAAAAAGAAAATGCTATACATTTTCATCAAATGTGCTCCAAATGGGTTCTAGTCATCCCAATACCCTAACACATTCCTGAAAACAGAAACAGGATCCGCCTTTTCCAGATGAAACAAAGACACGACATTGCTGGTACATACGAAGTCTCCCTGGTGGGGCAGAGAAAGCACTAATGGGAGGACTAGTACCTCATCTCCAAACCCTGGCAGGGAGCCCCAGGCTAGTCAACATTTTTATGTGCACTCGAGAGGCCTGGAAGTTGATGTGTGGGCAACTTCCTGGAATTTACCTTCCTAGTTCAGGAAAGCGTGGACTCCTGCTCACAGTTCAACCTAAAGAGAAGGAAGTCTGCTCTTTAATTTTTTTTTTTTTAAAGAAGGGAGGGAAAATGATTAAAAATTGCCTTGGCCTGTGACCAAACTGCAGAGCTAACAAGTGGTAACATTTGCCTATGAAGTATCCTTGATTCTATTAGCTGGCGACTTGCCTATGAAGTATCCTTGATTGTATTAAATGGCGATATCCGCCAAAAATCCATGGTCAAACCAGTTATCCCGCCTCTCCTTACCCCATTCTCTCAACAAAGGGTGGATAATACATAGCATATAGTTTTGCTTTAAGGGGAGTTACTGCTACGTTTACTCACAAAACAAGCCACGTCGCATGTGCCAGAATTCAGCAAGGACACAAGCCATCTAACCGTCCCAGATTTCTGGGAAGCTGAATTGCATTATCCATAACAGGTATCTGGGGCTCTGCCTTCTTCGTGCCCACCTTGGTTCCTTGGTCACCGAGCTTAGGAGACCACTGTGACCCCACTGTCCATCACCTGGGAGGGGCCCTGAAGATCACTGAGTTCTGCCTTCTCATTGTGTGGCGCGGAAACACAGCTCTACAGGAAGAGGAGGAAGCTTTGCAACATCACAAGGCACACAGGTGGAAGTACTGAGGTTAGAACGTGAATCTTCCTGACCCAAACTCTAAGATGGTGCTAAGTGGACAAGATGTGGATCTCTGTGGGCAGGACCTTCAGGCAGGGGCTTAGTAGTGGCGCTCCAGCTGGTCACAATGCAGCCTAGGGACACACCTAAGATTCTCCCAGAAGCTAAAACAGAAGGGTAACAAAGACAGCAATCTCAGAAATCCCCAGCAGAGTAGGAGTCAATCAAACAGCAAAAACCAAGGGACACCCCTGGGTATAAACCCAAGAACTGAAAACAGACACAAATTGATATTCACATGCCTGATATTTTTGGCAGCACTGTTCACACAATAACCAAAAGGTGGAAGCAATCTGTGCGCCCACTGATGGGCGAATGGATACAGAAACTGCGATACATACGTATAGTGGAATACTGTTCAGCCGTAAAAAGGAAGGAAATTCTGACGCAATGAGTTTTGAAAAGACACTATGCTAAATGAAATAAGCCTGTTATAAAAGGACAAACCCTGTATGATTTTAGTAATATGAGGCACTCAGAATAGCAAAATTCAGAGACAGAAAGTAGAATGAATGGTGGTTGCCAGGGACCCGGGAGGGGTGGAATGGGAAGTTCCTGCTTAATGGATAGAGTTTCAGTTTTGCAAGATGAAGAGTCTTCTGGAGATGGCTAGTGCTGGTGGCTGCACAACAGCGTCAAGGTACTTAATGCCACAAAATGATGTGTTTAAACTTATTAAAATGAGAACTTTTATATTAAGCATGCAAAGTCAATGGAGCCTAGATTTTCTTTGTCTAAAAAAAAAGTCTCACTCTGTTGCCCAGGCTGGAGTGCACTTATGCAATCTGGGTTCACTGCAGCCTCCTCTCCTAGGTTCCAGCGATTCTCCTGCCTCAGCCTCCCGAGTAGCTGGGACTACAGGCGTGTACCACCACACCCACCTAATATTTTGTAGTTTTAGTAAAGTTGAGGTTTCACTATCAAGATCAGACGGAATGGTCTCGATCTCCTGACCTCGTGATTGCCCACCTCAGCCTGCCAAGGTGCTGGGATTACAGGTGTGAGCCACTGTGCCCAGCCACCACTGGCTAGTTCTATGGCTATCATGCTTCATATGCTTGATGTCGCAAAATGAAAAGACCAGAAAATGCAATTCATAAGTGGTCTTAAAAACAACAGGAAGCACTAAGGTTTCCTTCTCCCCTTTTCCCATCCCCCATCAAAAATCCACACAGAAAGTTATGAAAGCAAACAAGGTTTGTTTCCCTGCCCCCTGACAGGAGACCATAAGGTCAGTGCTGATGGGGAACACCCTGCCAATTGTGCCAGCAAAGAGGACCCTGACCTGCAAGTTTGAGGAAGCAGCTCCCTTCCAACTTCTGCCATCAACGCAGAGGAGGGTTCAGAATACATCGGAGAAAGCTCCACACGGCTGCGGCCCATCCCTCCTCTCCCATCCAGCCCTCTTGGAGTTCGCACACCCTCAACTCATGCAACGCTGGGAGCATGAACTGACACCATCATGCTCTGGGGCTTTCATCGTATACAGATCTATTTCTTAGCTATCAAATCTGTCCCATTAGCCATAAGACTCTGGTGGACAGAGCTGCCTACAGCTCTCTGGTCCCCTCTTTTCAGCCTCCTTCCTCCCGCCAGGCCAGGGTGAGCCTTGGAGTGGCACCAGCTTCTTCCTTTGTTCCTTCCTCCCTCCTGTGACCTGGGTTATTCCCTCTACTTCCATAGCTATAGTAACCAAGTAAGAGCCACCAACTCCTCAATCTCTCTCTCTCCTGACCTCCTGCCCAGCTGCAGCTGAGTGTCCTGCCGGCACCTCGAACCTGGCATGCCCTAAAAAACCCACTATGCGGTCAGGCGCAGTGGCGCACACCTGTAATCCCAGCACTTTGGGAGGCTAAGGTGGGTGGATCACTTGATGTCAGGAGTTCAACACCAGCCTGACCAACATGGTGAAACCCCGTCTCTACTAAAAAATACAAAAATTAGCTGGACGTGGTGGCAACTGCCTGTAATCTTTTTATTTTAGATCCAGGGGTACATATGCAGGTTGGTTACCTGGGTTATACTGTGTTATGCTGAGGTATGGAGTACAACTGATCCTGTCACCCAGGTACTGAGCATGGTACCCAACAGTTAAGTTTTCAACCCTGGCCCCGCCTCCTCTAGTAGTCACCAGGGCCTATTGTTCTCATCTTTATGTCCATAAGTACCCAATGTTTAGCTCCCACTTATAAGTGAGAATATATAGTATTTAGTTTTCTGTTCCTGTGTTAATTCACTTAGGATAATGGCCCCAGCTGCATTCATGTTACTGCAAAAGACATGATATCATTTTTTTTTTTTTTTTTGAGTTGGAGTTTCGCTCCCATTACCCAGGCTGGAGTGCAATGGCGAGATCTCGGCTCACCACAACCTCCGCCTCCTGGATTCAGGCAATTCTCCTGCCTCAGCCTCCTGAGTAGCTGGGATTACAGGCACGCACCACCATGCCCAGCTAATTTTTTGTATTTTTTGTAGAGATGGGGTTTCACCATGTTGAACAGGATGGTCTCGATCTCTTGACCTCATGATCCACCCGCCTCGGCCTCCCAAAGTGCTGTGATTACAGGCTTGAGCCACCGCACCCGGCACAATTTCATTCTTTTTTATGGCTGTGTTGTGTTCCATGGTGTGTATGTACCACATTTTCTTTACCCACTCTACCATTAATAGGCACACAGGACATAGACTGATACCCTGTCTTTGCTACTGCTGCAATGAACATACCAGTGCACATGTCTTCTTGATAGAATGATTTGTTTTCTTTCCAATAGATACCTAGTGATGGGATTGCTGGGTTGAATGGTAGTTCTGTGTTAAGTTCTTTGAGGAATCTCCAAACAGCTTTCCACAGTGACCAAACTAACTTACATTCACACCGACAGTGTATAAGTATTTGCTTTTCTCCAAAGCCTATTCGAGCACCAGTTATTTTTTGGCTTTATTTTTAATCGAGTTTCCACCTTATTGCCCAGATTGGAGTGCAGTGGCACAATCTTGGCTCACTGCAACCTCTGCCTTCCAGGTTCAGTAGATTCTCCTGCCTCAGCCTCCCAAGTAGCTGAGAGTACAGACATGTAGCACTATGCCTGCCTAATTTTGTACTTCTAGTAGAGACAGCGTTTCACCATGGGTTAGGCTGGTTTCCAGCTCCTGGCCTCAGGTGATCCACCCACTTTGGCCTGCCAAAGTGCTGGGATTACAGGCATGAGCCACCGTGGCTGGCCTGGATTTTAAATTTAAGAGACAGGGTCTCGCTATGTTGCCCAGGTTGGAGTGCAGTGGCTATTCACAGGTGCAATTCCACTACTGATCAGCATGGGAGTTTTGACCTTTTCCGTTTCCATCCTGGGCTGGTTCACCCGTCTTTAGGCAACCTGGTGGTTCCCCGCTACCAGGAGGTCACCATATTGATGCTGAACTTAGTGTGCACACCCAATCAGCAAAGTGTACTACAGCCCAGAATTCCTGGGCTTAAGTGATCCTCCCACCTCAACCTTCTGAGTAGCTGGGACTACAGGGACACACCACTGCACCTGGCGGCTTTTAAATTTTTTTAAGAGGCAGTGTCTTGCTCTGTTACCCAGGCTGGAGCACAGTGGCACAATTATGCTCTCTTTAGCCTCAAACTCCTGGGCTTAAAGGATCCCCTGCCACTAAGTTAACTGGATTATAGAAACATGCCACCATGCCCGGATGTTTCTTAGGCCGGCCTTAAACTCTTGGCTTCAAATGATCCTCCTACCTCAGCCTCCAAAAATGCTGGAATTATAGGCATGAGCTACTCTTTGATGTGAGATGGTATCTCATTGTGGTTTTAATATGCATTTCTCTGATGATAAGCAAAGTTGAGCATGTTTTCATGTTTGCTGGCCACTTAGAAATGTCTTTTCCTGTCTTTGGCCCACTTTGGAACTGGGTTTATCTGTTTTTTGCTTGTTGAATAGTTTAAGTTCCTTATAGATTCTAGACATTAGACCTTTGCTGGAAACAGAGTTTGTGAATATTTTCTCCCATTCCGTAGGTTGTCTGTTTACTCTGCGGATAATTTCTTTTGCTGTGTAGCAGCTCTTTAATTAGGTCTCACTTGTCAATTTTTGTTTTTGTTCTGCTTTTCAGGACTTAGCCACAAATTATTTTCCAAGGCCGATGTCCAGAATGGTGTTTCCTAGGTTTTCTTCTAAGATTCTTACTCTTTGAGGTCTTACATTTAAATCTTTAGTTCATGATGAGTTAATTTTTGAAGTAAAAGGTAGGGGTCCAGTTTCATGCTTCTGCATATGGCTAGCCAGCTATCCCAGCACCGTTTATTAAACAGACAGTTCTTTCCTTGTTGTTTATTTGTGTTAACTTTGCGGAAGATCAGATGGCTAGAGGTGTATGGCTTTATTTCTGGATTCTCTATTCTGTTCCGCTGGTTTGTGTGTCTGTTTTTGTACCAGTACCATGCTGTTTTAATTATTATAGACTTATGCGTAGTTGGAAGTTGGGTAATGGGACGCTCCTGGCTTTGTTCTTTTTGCTTAGGATGACTTTCCACGCCCTCACTTAAAGGCATTTGTGCCTCCTTGGTCCCTTAGACCCTCCCGCCAGTCATCAAGGGCCATAGATAACTGCTCAGTCCCCATTTTCCAGCCTGGCTTGTCAGCCCAATCAATCCTCTGAGTTAGAAGTTGTTTCTTTCTTCACAGAAATGGAGACAATTTTCGTTTTGGAAACTCAATCCAGTTCCACCAGGACTTGAACTCATTTCCAGGAATCCTGCCACAGACATGAAGACCCCGAGGGACAGGCTCCAAGAGTTGGTGACAACACATACTCTGCTAGGCAGAGAGGGAAGAAGGAATTTTCTGAGCCAATTATCACCAGCCAATTTCAGCTTGAGAATTCTGTCGAATGCCTCTCAAGGCTCTGGGAACTCTAAGAAATCAACATTTCTTAGCATCCCTAAAGATATTTCTCTAAAGCTTCCGGGTATGATCCTGCTGGTATCCATGAGAACGGCTACCTCTCAAGACCAGAATCAGACAAATAATTAACAAGGGTCTCCTCTAAGCACATGCGCTATATAAACTCGCTGTGAAGATGAGGAGTATCCAGATGAAAAGATTCCCACCACTACAAGGCAACACACGCCAGATGTGAATCGATGGATTAAGGCAGTGAGGACACCGAGGTTCCCACAGGGACCTATCACCATGGGCTGGGAGAATCAGGAGCAATTTTTTTTTTTTTTTTTTTTTAACAGAAAGTGGGTCTTCGGGAAAGCCTCAAAGCTGGTTTCTTGCTCTTGACATTTGCTCAAGTTCCAAGCTTCTCCCCATTACGGACAAAAGGAAAGTGGGCCACTCCTCACAGCAGCTGTACCTGGAGACAATTGCAATCTAGCTCAGCCCACCTAATTGGCACCGCACAGTGGGGAAAACAAGCCAAGTGGAACAGGCCTTTGGGAAAGGACTGCAGCCTGGGCTCAGACTGCTGCCCATGCTACTTGGAGCATATGAACTAAAGCAGTGGACCAAAAACCCATCGCAATTCCACTCTGACTGTGGGGAGAGTTTGGAAGCTCCAACTCTTTGTATTTTATCTTCACTGCACTGATACTGTAGAATGGTGAAAGCACTGCCATTCACTTGGTTTTTAGAAACTCAAGACGATGCGGATGTTTCCTCCCTAATGACTCCCCTGGAGTGTGGTACATCTTAATGCCACCAAGTGTGGAGGTGCATACCAGGTGTGTCAGAGGTAGGAGTCAGGGCTCTGGTGTTTTTTCAGCCAACGGGAATAACCTTGAAGCTTGACTCTCGCCAACGTGCTACTGTGGTCAAGGGCAGTCACTGATACTGTGCTTCTCTAGGCACCTGTACAGAGTGTACATTCAACAAATACTCCACCCCACTGTGACTCATCTGCAAGCACATTTTATTGTTTTGTTGTTGTTGTTGTTGTTTTAGATGGAGTTTCATTCTTGTCCCCAGGCTGGAGTGCAATGGTGCGATCTTGGGCAACTGTAACCTCTGCTTCCTGGGTTCAAGCAATTCTCCTGCCTCAGGCTCCTGAGTAGTTAGGATTACAGGTGCCTGCCACCATGTCCAGCTAATTTTTTGTATTTTTAGTAGAGATGGGGTTTCACCATGTTGGCCTCGAACTCCTGATCTCAGGTGATCCACCTGCCTTGGCTTCCCAAAGCACTGGGGTTACAGGTGTGAGCCACCACACCCAGCCTGCAAGCACATTTTAGAAGAGCTAGTGAAAAGCTGGGTATGGCAGCTCAGGTCTGCAATCCCAGCACTTTGGGAAGCCAAAGTGGGTGGATCACTAGAAGTCCGGAGTTCAAGACCAACCTGGTCAACATGGTGAAACCCTATCTCTACTAAAAATACAAAAATCAGCTGGGCTTAGAGGTGCATGCCTGTGGTCTCAGCTACTCAAGAGGCTGAGGCAGGAAAGTTGCTTGAGCCTGGGAGTTGGAGGTTGCAGTGAGACCAGATCCCGCCACTGCCCTCCAGCCTGGTAGACAGAGCAAGACTCCCTCTCAAAAAAAAAAAAAAAGGCTAGTGAAGCTTCTGTGAACTGGAAAGTTGTGTTTTTCAGAGTAGTTTCCTTGCCTAGTCAATCCCTCCCCTCCCCGTCTTTCTCTGCTCTTCTGTAAGCAGAGCAACAGTAGCAACGTTTAGTTCCCAGTGATCTCAGAGTTTTAAAAATTTACTGCAATCAGGGCATAATTTCCAGATCGCAAAATAATTCTTCTTAAAAGCAAAGCAAAAACAAAAACCAGGCGCTTACGTTTACTAAGTCTCCATTAGGATTTAAAAAATGACTAGTCTTTCTTATTCGAGTGGGAAAGGGTAGAGCAAAGCCCTTGGAGGAAGAAATCTATCAAAAACCACACTGCACCCAATGACGTGTCTGGGCTCAGAGCGGTACTTCCATTTCTCATCTTTACCATGAAGAATCCTCTCTTGGAATCACGTCTGTTCTGGGGTAGTAGGAACTTGACTCACAAAACCACAGCTTTCCGAAACACCGGCAAGGAAGCTGGGTCATATATGGAAATTTCTTTCCATGAGCCTGTAAACAATCAGTTACTTGTTTTCCCCCTTTTTTTCCCACAAGAATTTTCTCTAAGTAACTGAAGGAGATTTCCCATGGGAATTGGGCAATGGTGACTTCCAGGTCTTAAACTTTATCTAAAATAGCTGGAAAACAAAAGATACAAGAATGTGCCTGACTGGCCTCTAACAATGCAAATTCTGGCAATAAGAACAGCAGCTAAAGTGTGGAACTTCCAGGACCTCCGAGGAGGGCAGGCACTAGGGCAAAGACTCTCTGGTTTGTATTTAAGAAAGTATAAACCTCCCACCATTGACCAACTAAAGCTTAAATTTTTTACGACCTATGAAAAAAGTTTGCAAAAAGCCTTCATAATCTAAGTAAGTAGCAAGAATATTAGACTGTAATAAAATACATTGGGCTCAAGAGCGTCAAAGAACATTTTTTTTTTTGAGATGGGGTCTCACTCTGTCCATCAGGCTGGAGTGCAGTGAAACAATCTCGGTTCACTGCAACTTCCACCTCCTGAGCTCAAGTGATCCTCCTGCCTCCGTCTCCTGAGTACCTAGGACCATAGGGGCAGGTCAGCACACCCAGCTAATTTTTTTTTTTTATAAATATTTTTGGAAGAGACAGGCTTTCACTATGTTGCTCAGGCTGGTCTCAAACTCCTAAGCTCAAGTGATCTGCCTGCCTTGGCCTCCCAAAGTTCTGGGATTACAGGCTTGAGCCACTGCACCCAGCCTCAAGAGGTTCACGATTTTCTTTAGCTGTACAACCATTAGAGCATAGTTCACACATGGATTTCAGGGTGCCCACGGAAGGCTAAATGCTTCAGAGAGCACGGTACGTTAATGGCAGGGAATACTGAGAATTTTAAATCATAGATAGAAGAGAGTTGGGATTCAAATTTCCAAGCAAATCAGGTCTGTCTGATAACAAATCCTGTATGTTCTTTCCTCTCTGGCACCAGACTTTCACCATGTCCCATTTGTCACAGAGGACCTAAGTGAGTCCTCCATGAAACCTCTTAAGTGGAACAGAATGTTCTGTGAAAAGAGAGTGAGCACATGGATGTTTACAGCAGCTTCATTCATAATTGCCAAAACCTGGAAATGACCAAGATGTCCTTGAGCAGGTGATTAGATAAACTGTGGCACATGAATACAATGGAGTTATTACACGGCACTAAAAAGCAATGAGCTACCAAGTAATGAAGCCATGAAGGAAACAGAAAGGCATGTTACTAAGTGAAAGCAGCCAATCTGAAGGGGCTATCTGTGGTAAGGTTCTAACTACATGGCATTCTAGAAAAGGCCAAATTATGGAGACAGTAAAAAGATTGGGGTCCAGGTGCAATGGCTCACATCTGTAATCCCAGCCCTTTGGGAGGCCAAGGCAGACAGATGACGAGGTCAGGAGATTGAGACCATGCTGGCTAACATGGGGAAACCCCATCTCTACTAAAAATACAAAAAATTAGACATGTGCCTGAGGTCCCAGCTATTTGTGAGGCTGAGGCAGGAGAATCGCTTGAACCCAGGAGGCAGAGGTCGCAGTGAGCCAAGATGGTGCCAAGTGCTGGAGGGAGAAAGGGAAAAATGGGCACAGAGGATTTTTAGGGCAGTGAAACTACTCTGTATGATAACGCCACCATTATCATGTCATTATACCTTTGTCCAAAGCCATGGAATGTACAACGCCAAGAGTGAACCCTAATGTGCACTGTGGATGTTGGGTGATTATAAAATGTCAATGGAGGTTCATTAATTCTAACAAATGCGCCACCCCGGTGGGGGGTGTCGATAATGAGGAGGCTGTACATTTCAGGGAAAGAAGATGTATAGGAAATCTCTACCTTTTTCTCAGAAAAAAATTTTCGTTTATTTTTATTGTTAGGTCTCTATCACCCAGGCTGGAGTGCAGTGGCGCAATCATAGCTCGCTGTAGCCTCAACTTCCCAGGCTCCAGCAATTCTCCCACCTCAACCTCCCAGGTAGCTGGGATGATAGGTGCATGCCACTATGCCTGGCTAACTTTTATATTTCTGGTAGAGACGTGGTTTTGCCATGTTGCCCAGGCTGGTCACAAACTTCTGAGCTCAAGCGAGCCACCCACATTAGCCTCCGAAAGTGCTGGGATTACAGGTGTGACCCACAGCCCCTAGCCAGAAAAAAACCTTTTTTTTTTTTTTAAGGAGGTTGGGTCTTGCTCTGTCACCCAGGCCAGAGTGCTGTGGCACAATCATAGCTCACTGTAGCTTCAAAGACTTGGGCTCAAGCAGTCCTCCTGTCTCACGCTCCCAGGCAGCCTAGACTACATGCACACACCACCATGCCTGGATCATTAAAAAAAAAATTTTTTTTTTTTAGAGGTGGGTTTTACTATGTTTCCCAGGTTGGTCTCAAACTCCTGGCCTCAAGTGATCTTCCTGTCTCAGTCTCCCCTATAGCTGGGACTACAGGTGTGAGCCACCATGCCTGGCCTTTTTTTCCCCCCTCGATTTTGCTGTGAACCTAAAACTGCTCTAAAAAAAAAATTAAGTCTTAAAAGAGAGATGGTCGGGCATAGTGGCTCATGCCTGTAATCCCAGCACTTTGGGAGGCTGAGGTGGGCAGATCACCTGAGGTCAGGAGTTCAAGACCAGCCTGGCCAACATGATGAGACCCTGTGTCTACTAAAAATACAACAATTAGCTGGGTGTGGTGGCAGGCACCTGTAATCCCAGCTACTCAGGAGGTTGAGGCAGAAGAATCACTTGAACCCAAGAGGCGGAGGTTGCAGCGAACTGAGATCATGCCACCGCACTACAGCCTGGGCGGCAGAGTGAGACTCTCTCTCTCAAAAAAAAAAAAAAAAAAGACAAGACAGTGAGTTCAGTTAAACTATGGGACTAAACTTAGCATTCCTGCTCACTAGCCATATGAATAATAACAAAGTCTTTATGCCTCAGTTTCCTCACATGAAAATGTAACGTAGCTGCAGAGGTTTCACTAAAATCTAGAGACAGTGCTTTAGATCATCTCAGTGCCGGCCACACAGTGGGCATCTGTCAGGCTGTGGTTACAGTGACTCTCCACTAAAACCTACTCACTCCTCCACCACTGTTTCTTCACATTTCAATCCTTCTGCTGTTTGGGCTTATTTACATAACTAACCAAATTTTACATAGCTTGTCCTGGTTTAATTGAAAGTGACAAAGGGGAAAGTGGGAAATGAAAACAGAGTGCTCAGTGCACAGCCGTGTTAAAAGACTCAGAAGTCAGCACTCAGCGGTTCCCAAGGGGGCTGCCAGCTCCAATCAGGCCACTGGTTACTTGACAAGAGGAGGAAGCTGGGAACCACACACACCACCCAGGATTCTCCCGGAAAACATCTTGGAGTAGCACAGAAAAGCCTCCTGGTCATCTTCTGGTTGAGTTCCTGTGCCATCAACAAGACCTAGGGCTTCCACTCAGAAGGGAACTGTACTGTCCTTCTCAGGAGCACTACAAGCTTGATCTTTTTTATTTTCCAAATTATTTCCTGGCTAGGAATGAGCCAAGTCTAATGGAAGATAAAATAATTGTAATGATCAAGGCTACCCTAAAAATCAAGAGAGAAGCTTCCACCGGCATGATTAGCCACACTGTTTAAAAAGAAAGGTCATCCCTGAGACAGCCAGAACCCCAGGCCTCTCTTTTTCTGCCCTTTCCATTTGCTGACTACAGTAAACCTCAAGGGAGAATTCTGAAATGCCCAAAATGATGCCCATGAATGATTTCCAGCTGGTTCCTTCCCTATCATAACTTTTCAATTCCAGGAACTCTGTTCACCCTCGCTGGTTCTGTGTCATATGTAAGGAATTGACATTTCCAATGCAACATGACTGTGACCTTTCACCCAGCTCAATGCCTTTCCTTTCCCTACAGACTTCTTTTCAGTCTTGATATAGTTTGGATGTCTGTCCCCACCCAAATCTCATGTAACCTTTAATTCCAGTGTTGGCGGAGAGGCCTGGGGGGAGGTGATAGCATCATGGGGGTAGATCTCCCCCTTGCTGTTCTCGTGATAGTGAGTTCTCATGAAATCTAATTGGTTAAAAGTGTGAGGTGGCTGGGCACAGTGGCTCATGCCTGTAATCCCAGCATTTTGGGAGGCCAAGGCAGGTGGATCACCTGAGGCCAGAGAATCGCTTGAACCCGGGAGGTGGAGGTTGTGAGGCAAGATCGCACCACTGTACTCCAGCCTGGACAACAAGAGCAAAATTCCATCTCAAAGAAAAAAAAAAGTGTGAGGCACCTCCCGCTTTGCTCTCTGCCTCCTGTTCCAGCCATTTAAAATGTGCCTGCTTCTCCTTCACCTTCTGCCATGACTGTTTCCTGAGGCCTCCCCAGAACCAGAAGACTGGCTGGCCACAGTGCCTCACCTTAAGTCAGGAGTTCGAGACCAGCCTGGCCAACACGGTGAAACCCCCATCTCTACTAAAAATACAAAATTAGCTGGGTGTGGTGGCACAGACCTGCAGTACCAGCTACTCAGGAGGCTGAGATAGGAGAATTACTTGAACCTGGGAGGTAGAGATTTCAGTGGGCTGAAATCGGCACTGCACTCCAGCCTGGACAAGACAGAGGAAGATTCCACCTCGAAAAAAAAAAAAAAAAGCAGCAGCAGAAGCCTGTAGAGCCTGCAGAGCTGTGAGCCAATTAAACCTCTTTTCTTTATAAATTACCTAGCTTCAGGTATGTTTTTAGAGCAGTGCGGGAACAGACTAATACAAGTCTCATGGGCACCTCTACTCTGAGCTCTTGGGAAATCCTTCCGGAATTTTTTTTATTTCTACACATCCTTCAATGGAAAGGGCTATTTTATGTTTATTTTTGAGAAAGAGTCTTGCTCTGTCACCCAGGCTGGAGTGCAGTGGTGTGAACATGTCTCACTGCAGCCTCAACCTCCTAGGCTCAAGTGATGCTCCTGCCTCAGCCTCCCCTATAGCTGGAACTGCAGGCACCCATGCAGGCTGATTTTTGTATCTTTTGTAGAGATAGGGTTTTTCCATGTTGCCCAGGCTGGTCTCAAGTAATCCTCTCACCTTGGCCTCCCAAAGTGCTGGGGTTATAAGCATGAGCCACTGCACCCATCCAGATCTCACTTTTTATTTCCTTCTTAACTCTCCTTGGCTACAAGTTTACAATATTCTCTACCTGGCAAGTGTCAGATGCAATAATCGTCCTAATCTTGTGGCTCCCAAGGGTTTTCTGGATCTCCTGCAAACTTCTGACCGTGGCCACTGACCCCTTCAACTGGCTGACCCTGTCTCCCTTGCCAGCTCTATCTGGTTCCCTTCATCTTGTGTGGCAAGATACTGCGTCCCCGCCCTTGTTCAAGAGATAGTACCTGTCCCTCATCGACCTCCTTCCACTCCTGCCAGCCTAAGTTTCGCACATTTGCACATGGTTTTATGGAGTTTATAAATAGTTTCACACAAACCTGACCTGTCATGATGACAGTTAGCACAGGGCTCTCGCTAATAGAGACGGATGCTGGTAGGAGGCTCACACTCACTCAAGTGAACTGTCCCATCAAGTCTGTAAGCCCCTCCCTTCCCCAGGCATCTGGACACTAATTTTATCTCTAGCTAGATGAAATGTCTTTGCCCAGGAACAGCTAGGCAAGTGGCTGCTGCACTGGCTTTGTGCAGAGCACAAGGCCTCCAAAGAGTTAGAATCAGGGAACACCCGGGATCTGTGAAGAAAACAGCTGAACACCTGCAAGGTCACAGTCTTGCTCAAGTGCTACTCAAGCCAGGGCAAGCCCAATCTAAAAATAGATGTACCTGAATTGGGACATCAGAAGGTACCAGCAGGCACAAGAACACCACGCCCAGCTCAGCTGGCCTCACTTGCTGGGCTGGGACAGCCAGCACCCCAAGTATGAAGCAAGAAAAAGATGGACGGGCACTGTCATTCAACCCTTACTCAAGGGCAATCAGGGACCCAGTGGGAGTAGAACCAGGCCTCTACAACTGACTGTGGGCATGCAAAGGCACCCTCCCCAGGAGGGGTTGAACCTGCTCTACACAAACGCAACTGAAGTAGAGAAGCCAACCCCTGGATACAGCCATCTGTTTCTGAATGACACCCAGGGAGACGAGCCCGCTCCAGGCAGGGTAACCGAAGCCACCAACACAGACACCAATGCCTTACTTCAGGATGGACCAATGACTGTTGGAAATAGACGTGCCACAAAGAAAAATCAGCACTGAGACAAAGGATTTTTCGGCAACGCAATTTTTACTTCCTGGACTGCAGGAAGGGTACTCTGGCTAGCCATCTCGCCACAAGAGTACAACGAACAAAGGAAAACACACAAATTTATTCCTTACACATCTGGGGTTGTCCTTACTGTTGTGTCTGATTTCCATTGGCTGGAGCCAGACCTCACGATGTAAACTAAAACCCAATCAACTAACAACTGAAAACTTTTCTAAGTAGCTAAAAGCAATGGAGAGCTGGGACATGCCAGTGAGCCCATTCAGCACAGGTATCTTGGTTAAAGTACAAGGAGTGCTGTAAGCATGGCATGTCTAACAGCTACATAGGATAGGGCTTAACGAAGTTATTACATGCTTATTTTAAATAAGAAAGGAAACTTTAAAAACTTTTCTACTTCCCACAATGATGAAGCCTTTTTATATTGTAAACACACCCAGCTAGAAAATGTCCAGGAGAAAAAACGAGATGGAAAAATAAATTCCAGCATTAAAATCAAAACAAAAACAATTGTTTGCCTTCCACAGATTCGGTCTTTAAACTCTATGAGCACCCACGACCATCAGGAACACATATGGCGCCCCTACCCAATGCTCTCTCCCACCGTGCCCCCAGCACATGTACAATCTGACACTCACAGCCCCTGCCAAACCAATCTCCAATAAATCTCTTAAAAACAAAAGGCTCTGAATAAAGGATTTCTGAACAAAGCCCGCTCTGAAGATGCACTGTAAAAAGGAAGTTTTCCCCATGGACAGAATGAAATCAGGACTGGGTTCAGATAGAAAGGCCAAGTGCATATTAACCTGTCTGTATACTACTGATCCTTTCATCTGTTTTTCAAAAACAGACCAGAAAATAGTATTTGTCTCTACACAGGGTAAGCGCTTGAAAAAAAATTAACACACACACACAAATCAAAATTCCCTTCTCTCACATCCTGGGCCCTGGGTCTTTAAAACTTTCTGGCCTGTATCTAGAGCAAATGGTATGCTTGCCAGCCTTCAGGATGTTTTCTGCCAAACCCAGAAATGTCCTTCTCCTGGGGACAGAGCAGGGCTTTCCTGGAGAGTCTGCCTGCTTCTAGGCTGAAATGTCTGCATGTAAGACAAAGATGGTTCTTTTGGTCAAGAGCTCAGAGGACAAGCAGCAAGGAATACTGGGAAACCCTGGCTGCAGGGTTTGCTGTCTCTATGGAACACCCCACAGCACAGAAGGTCCGTAACTGGTTAACTGGGGAGTCAGCAGAATCTGGGGGCCACAAGGCTGAGTCTGATAGGAAGGGCCAAGTGGAGATGCCATAGGCTTATCATTTTTTTTTGCCTGGATGTGACAGCAGCAATCTAATAACGTGGGGGCTTCAAGTGAGGGATGTTTCTCTAATTGGAATGCAGGCATTAGGAGGGTAGGTGCCATCTGGTCCCAGTATTCATTTGCAGCACTGCACAGTTCTGGAAACACCCAATATACTCTCTGTTGTTTAGAAAGTAATGGTATCCAGCTGGGCACAGTGGCTCATGCCTGTAATCTCAGCACTTTGGGAAGCCAAGGTGGGTGGATCACCTGAGGTCGGAAGTTCAAGACCAGCCTCACCAACATGGAGATACCTCATCTCTACTAAAACTACAAAATTAGCTGGGTGTGGTGGTGCATGCCTCTAATCCCAGCTACTGGGGAGGCTGAGGCAGGAGAATTGCTTGAGCCCAGGAGGAGGAGGTTGTGGTGAGCCAAGATCGTGTTATTGCACTCTAGTCTGGGCAACAAGAGTGAAACTCTGTCTCAAAAAAAAAAAAAAAAAAAAAAAAAGAAAAACAAGTAAAGGTATACAATGAAGACCCCCTACAACTTCTAAAAGAAAGAGGAATTCAACTCTAAAACTTTGCTTCTCTCACAGGGGCAACTAGGAACCTTTTCACCACTTACAGCTTTCCCCACCCCCTACATTTTGCTGAACTTAACCTCTGTATACACTAATCCCCGCCAGGCTCACTGTAAATATTTCATGCTACCGCCATTCCTGTATGAGCACATGTCAGAATTACTGAGGCTGCTAAGCCTGAATTTAGGTCTGCTTCACCAGCTTTCTGTGTCAATTCTGTGTTAAGAAGTGGTCCTGTAGACAGCATACACTCAATTTCAAAGACCACCCCCTGGAACAAAAACCACCTTTGTCATTGATTCATTTTCTCCAGTTCGTCATCTAAGAACATGACATTAGCACTGGCACCAGATTTCATTGGGGCATCCTTTCTCACATTGACATTTGTCCTCTGAAAGTTTCAAAGTTGTACTCTGAGACTTATTTCATCTACTCGTAAAGTTTTCCTTTTCAAAATGAGATCCCTGTTAAAGTCAGAATTTTTTTTTTTTTTTTTTTTTTGAGATGGAGTCTCGTTTTGTCACCCAGGCTGGAGTGCAGTGGTGCGATCTTGGCTCAATGGAAACTCTGCCTCCCAGGTTCAATAAATTCCCTGCCTCAGCCCCACAAGTGGCTGGGATTAAGGCGCCCGCCACCACGCCTGGCTAAATTTTGTATTTTTAGTAGAGACAGGGGTTTAACCATCTTGGCCAGGCTGGTCTTGAACTCCTGACCTCATAATCCACCTGCATCAGTCTCCCAAAGTGCTGGGATTACAGGCGTGAGCCACCGCGCCTGGCCAGGATCAGAATCTTGAGTTCTGACTTACTGGAATGACAATGCAGTTTCTTAACCTAGTCATTTTAATTTTGAAAAAACCTCCAAGTTTTTATGTTTGGAGCCATGTCAGCATGTGCCACTCGAGTGGAGAATTTCATTCGCTGTTTAATGCTGGGATCACATGGTACTGGAGAAGTTCATGGGGGCACACTGTGGTTGCGTTGGTAGCCACTGAAGAGTTACAGACATTGACATTCCTGTCACCCAGAGGCAGGGAGTGACATCTGGCTCTAGCTCTTAGCAGTAGAGAGTGTGTGCTGGGGGTAGGGGAGAGGTTGGAGAAGGACCCAATTAAAATGCAAACGTTCCTTCCCTTGCTGCTGCTAAATGAACCTTGAAGGAAAATTAATACATATATTCCAAGCCTCTGGCAAAACCAAGACTTCAAGATAACCAGAAAATGCAAACTAAAATCCTTCATGACTGTATTTCTAATATTGCGTAAGCTCTAAACCCTGCCATAGTAAACAATGGTGTTAAACAAGCAGATTTGTTTTTTCCCCCTTCAACTCTGACCTGCTTATTCACCTGAGGATGTAAACCACCCATGTGCTAAGAAGACAGAAACCCACACTGGCAGCACAAGCCATAGGGAATGGCCCCACCCAGCAGGATCACAGTTTCTAAAATGCCCAGAAATTAACATTATAGTAGTATGAACCAGACACTGCATCCAGAGTCTGCACATTTCTTACAGTAACTCTTAGGGTCTTAGCCTTTGTATTTTTTTTTTCCAATTGTACCAACTAGATAACTAAGCAGAGATATGAATTAGATTTGCCTGATGCCGTCAGTGAGTAATATAGGATGTGGGCTAAATCTTAGTTTTGTGTTTCTTTCCTTTCGTTTTTTTTTTTTTTTTGGAGAGGAAGTTTTGTCCTGTCTTCCAGGCTAGCGTGCAGTGGCGTGATCTCAGCTCATTGCAACCTCTACCTCCCAGGTTCAAGCAATTGTGCCTCAGCCTCCTGAGTGGCTGGGACTACAGACATGCACTGTCACGCCCAGGGTTTTGCCATGTTGGCTAGGCTGGTCTTGAACTTCAGACCTCATAGGAATCCACCTGCCTCAGCCTTCCAAAGCACTGGGATTACAGACATGAGCCACCACATCCAGCCTGATACTATTCTTCTCATCAACATATTTTCTTCAAGTCTCCTTTATTTTCAGATCTTGAGCTTACTTCTGACGCTTTTCTCAAAAGCAACTGAAAACCTTTACCCTCAAAGAAGGATGTCATGTTTTTCATATTAAAAAAAAATGCTACACTTTTGTTCACTGTGTACGTTTGTTATCCTTGCACTCAGCATGTGGGACCCAGCAAATGAAAGCCCAAACTTCAGAGAAACATGGGAATAGAAGGTTATGTTCCTCACCCTATGAACTCCAAATAGGATACCAGACTTCAGAAGAAAGACTTCCTCCACTAAAAAAACAAAAAACAAGCAACGTAACTTCAGAAAGTAGCACCATGCTAGAGAGACACCTCCATGGAGTGGGTTTCCTTTGAGTGGTTGAGCAGTTTTTTCACACTGGACCCTCACGTTAGCCCCACTGTTAGCCCCACGGCCAGAGGAGGAGAAACAGAACAAGGCGAACCTTCTCTAGTGTGTGAATTGTGGGGTTTGGTTACACTTAGATGAGCACAGAAAGGTCAATCTTCAATTCAGTCTGTATTCGCCAAAGCACCAGAGAATAAAGGCACAAATGGTGTACCCACCTGTCTATTATGGTCTGAATCTCTGTGTTCCTCCAAAATTGGAGGAGCCCCCTTAGGGGTTAGGATTTTAGCATACAAATTTTGGGAGGCCCACCTCAGCCTCCAAGGTATGATTTAGGAGGTGGAGCCTTTGGGAAGTGATATGGTCATGAAGGAAGAGGGCTCATGAATGGAATTAGTGTCCTTATGAAACAGACCCTAGAGAGCTACCTGGCCTCTTCCACCATAGAAAGACCCAGCAAGAAGGCACCATCTATGAACCAGAAAGCAGACCCTCACCAGACACTGTATCAGCTAATGCTGGGATCTTGGACTTCCCAGCCAGCAGACTGTGGAAAATAAATTTCTGTTATTTACAAGCCATCTCATTTATGGTATTTGTTATAGTAGTCCAAATGGACTAAGACACTGGTCTTTGTGTGGAAGAGCCGAGGTTGGGGTTGGGGCTGGGGCTGGGACGGGGGTGGATTAAGCGGTAGACACTGTAGATTGATTCACTCAATCCTCATTTAGCAGAAAATGTGAAACCACCATATTCCATTGCAGCCAGAATGTAGGCATGTGAGCTTATTTCTACCAATCAGAAGCATCCCAGAGTGACTGAGTGCAGTGGTTCATGCCTGTAGTCCCAGTGCTTTGGGAGACTGAGGCTGGAGGATCATGAAGTCAGGAGTTCAAGACGAGACTGGCCAACATGGTGAAACCCCATCTCTACAAAAAATACAAAAATTAGCTGGGCATGGTGGCACACGCCTGTAATCCCAGGTAATACGGAGGCTGAGACAGGAGAACTGCTTCAACTGGGATCCGGGAGGCAGAGGTTGCAGTGAGCTGAGATCACACCACTGCACTCCAACCTAGGTTACAGAGCGAGACTCTGTCTCCCAAAAAAGAAGCATCCCTGCGCAACCTGGACACAGCGTGAGTGACAGAGGCAGCAAGGGTCACCCATCATGATCCAGGCCTTCTGAGGAGCATGGCAGAAGAGAAGTGCAGTCCTGGCATTCATTCCTTCAGCTCTTGGGGATGCAGCAGCCAGCAGAGGCAGCGTGATTTCTCTGCTAGAACAGACCCACGGTGTGGTTTGGCTCTTTTCCTGGCTCCATCACATCCAAGCCTGATTCTCGGTTCTTCCCAGAACTTCTGTGAACCACCTAACCAACAACTTTTAATACATCCCTTTCTGCTTAAACTAGCTACAGGAATTTCTGTTGTTTGCAGCCAGAAGTCCTGCCAGACTCAGCAAGAAAGCAGAGAAATGAAAGGAAGCTGGAAGAACTGTGGGAGCCAGCTGACAGGGTGACGCGGTGGCCACGTGCTGTTAAGTCTGGGGCTTCTGAACCCAGTGCTGTATGCCCAGTGAGGCCACGTGGTGGCATCCACAGAGCAGAAGCTTTAGCGGTGGCTGCACAAAGGTTGAATGTCAACTCTACTGCCCTAGACTCTATACTGTCCTGGACAAGTTTCTTATATTGTCTGAGCCTCAACTGACTCATCTACAAAAGTAGAGCAATGCTACTTCACTTCCAGAGTTTCAGAGAGAATAAAACTAGGTAATATGGAAACGGCCAAGTCCCGTGCCGAGTGACCGGTGGCTGTTTCAGAACTAGGACAACTATACCATCAAATCGTCACCAGCTGATTTGGCTTACATAGCATGCATGTCAAATATAAGGTTATATTTTCTCTAACACCTTATAAAAGAGGAAGCTGTTATACCGCTGAGTCTGTACAAATTATATTATGTACCTCCTTCAGTTATGTTGTTTCGGATGAAAAATGACTATCTGGAGAAGACACAACTGTCTAATACTTAACCAATGGGACTTTTAGATGCTTAGACACAACTGGTTTAACATCGAGGGGGAAATCAATTTAAAGTTAAGTTTAACAATTATTCCTAGGGGAATAATCTCACCATCTTAAGTGCTCTATTTTATCATAGCAGAGTAACAGGGTGGTTAAAAGTGGGAGCTGGCCAGGCTCGGTGGCTCAAGCCTGTAATCCCAGCACTTTGGGAGGCTGAGGTGGGTAGATAGCTTGAGATCAGGAGTTAGAGACCAGCCTGGCCGACATGGTGAAACTCCATCTCTACTAAAAAAATTAAAAAAAAAAAAAGCCCGGGCACGGTGGCTCAAGCCTGTAATCCCAGCACTTCGGGAGGCTGAGGCAGGCGAATCATGAGGTCAGGAGTTTGACAAGCCTGGGCAACATGGTGAAGCCCTGTCTCTACTAAAAACACAAAAAAATTAGCTGGGGGTCATGGCAGGTGCCTATAATCCCAGCTACTTGGGAGGCTGAGGCAGGAGAATCTCTTGAACACTGGAGAATCTCTTGAACCCAGGAAGCAGAGGTTGCAGTGAGCCGAGACTGCACCACCACACACCAGCCTGGGTGACAGAGTGAGACTCCACACACAAAAAAAATTAGGCAGGCATGGTGGTAGGGACCTGCAATTCCAGCTGCTCGTGAGTCTGAGTCATGAGAACCCGGGAGGTGGAGGTTGCAGTGGGCCAAGATCGCACCACTGTACTCCAGCCTGGATGTCAGAGTCTCAAAGAAAAAAAAAAAGGCAGAAACTCTGGAGCTCCACAGGTAGGTTTGAATCTTGGCTCTGCCTTTCACGAGCTGTGTGCCTTTGAGTAAGTTATTTGACCTTTCTGAAGCTTAGTTCCGTGAGTAAAGTGAGATAAGGCATCAATCTCACAGATTTCTCTGAGTAAATGAGTTAACACACGTAAGGCACCTATGACAGTATTTGGCACATAGCAAACGCATCCATAAACGTAAGCTAGTTTCAATTATACCATGAAGGGATGGAGGAACTGTGTCAGGGTTATATGAATACTTGTGGCCTTGGATAAAATGTCCAGTGGCAGCACCATACATAAATATAAATATTATAGTCTTTCAAATAATAAAGATGGAGGGTGATACACTCTGAAAACTGAATCAGCTGACTTAAAATGTGGCTCTGAGTATTTGAATAAATTTGCTTCATAAACGATATGAGTGGGAAAAGGAATATTCAAAATTAATGTCATTTAAATTTTAAATGTGATTTTAATTATGTATGTGAATGAAATATTAGAGCTATACATGACTATTTCATGTATATCACTGTATTATTAGTAAACTAAACTGTATCCTATTAGTATACTAAATAGTTTCTGTATATTTATGTTGGCCAAAAACCTTTTTGTAGCTCTTACTTATGTATGAGGCTTATATTTTACTATACAGGGTAAAAGAAAATGTTCTTCTCTTTTTTTAATCAGCATAGAAAATTCAAACTGCTTTCGAAAAGCATTTTTTTTTTTAGACAGAGTCTCGCTTTGTTCCCAGGCTGGAGCACAGTGGTGCGATCTCAGCTCACTGCAACCTTTGCCACCCGGGTTCAAGCGATTCTCCTGCCTCAGCCTCCTGAGTAGCTGGGACTACAGGCGCCCCCTCTCCCATACGCAGCTAATGTTTGTATTTTTAGTAGAGGCAGGGTTTCATCATGTTGGCCAGGATGGTGGCGCTTTCTTGACCTTGTGATCTACCCACCTTGGACTCCCAAAGTTCTGGGATTATAGGCATGAGCCACCCCACCCGGCCTCAAAAAGCATCTTAACCACATGTCCTTGTGCTCCCCAAATTAATGCTCTTATGATCCCCACTCCTGACTTTTGCTAGATTTGAGTTTAAACGTATTTTATATTCAGACAAGCTACATGTTTTTCTAAAAAACAATGCCTCTACTCCAAATAAAGCATGGTCAAAATAAATGAAGAACTCAAGATGACATCAGTCCCATTTTTCTTAAGTCCTGTTGTTGTGTGGATAGCAAGTGGCAGCCAGTTATGATGACAGGTGATAGATCCAAAGTAACTGCCAAATCTGTTAACATTTTCCCATTTCTAAACCATCTTCAAAGAAAATCACATATTGAGTCATCCCATCCTCACAGTAGTCCAGTAGAGCAACTTCACCACCTGGACTCATGCTTCCCCCAATACAGAACTGGCAGCATTTTTGAGACGAGTCTTCCTCTGTTACCCAGGCTGCGGTGCAGTGATCTCGGCTCATTGCAGCCTCTGCCTCTCGGGTTCAGCAATTCTCCCACCTCAGCCTCCCGAATAGCTGGGATTACGGGTGTGTACCACCAGAGCCAGTTAATTTTTTTGTATTTTTGGCAGGGACAGGGTCTCACTATGTTGCTAAGGCTGGTCTCAAACTCCTGAGCTCAAGTGATCTGCCCACCTCAGCCTCCCAAAGTGGTGGGATTATAGGTGTGAGCCACCCTACCAGGCCAGAACCTTTTCTGAAATTACTAAGGATGTGCCTGATTTGTTCATAAAAGGTTTTACTCTTTCTGGTCTCTGTTCTTCAAGTTTGCCTTTGATTGATTTCACGTAACCTCTGATGTATTTCTTGTAGGCTTCTCTGGTGAAGGTTTCCTGCAAGTGAGGGTTTGTGACCATATCAACACCACAGCCATTTACTATGCTTTCCATACCTCACCATCAGAGCCTTTGGCAGAGGCATTTCCACCAATGAGCCAGTCATCAGTGTCATCCTACTGACCGTCTTCCCCTCCACTTCCAAGCACAGCCAGTCAGATTTCTGGGATCTTGTGAACACACCTTATCATGGCAGATGAGGTCCAAGTAGATAATCATGATGGTGGCTGAACAGTGGCGCTGCCTTAGAGGAGCCCAGAGCTGCACTCAGTGGGGGTGGGGCAGAGGAGGTACACATCTGTAATCCGAGCTACTTAGGAGGCTAAGGTGGGAGAATTGCTGAACCCAGGAGGCAGAGGCTGTAATGAGCCGAGATCACTGCACTACAGCCTGGGTAACAGAGCAAGACTGTCTCAAAACAAACAAAAAGCTAGCAGTTCTGTAACGGGAAAAGCATGAATCCAGGTGGCTTGGTTGCTCACTGGACTACTGTAGGCCTTGCCTACATTTCAAACAAAAAAAGGATCAAACCAAAATAAAAGGAAATAGAGAGGAAATATAAACTATCTTTGTGCATTGGCATTTTAAATATACATAAAATCAGTCTGGTGCAGCAGCTCATGCCTGTAATCCCAGCACTTTGGGAGGCCGAGGTTGGCAGATCACCAGGGTCAAGAGATTGAGACCATTCTGGCCAACATGGTGAAACCCTATCTCTACTAAAATTATAAGAAGTAGCTGGGTGTGGTGGCCCCCATCTGGTAATCCCAGCTCCTTGGGAGTCTGAGGCAGGAGAATCGCTTGAACCCAAGAGGCAGAGTTTGCAGTGAGCCGAGATCACACCACTGCACTCCAGCCTGGTGACAGAGCAAAACTCCGTCTCAAAATAAAAAAATAATAATAAATACATATACATAAAATCTCCAACATGGATAAAGATGCTATTCAATTCTATTTACCTGATCCTTTCCTTATGTCTTCAGTTAATTGGGAGTGGGAGTGGGGATAAGAAAATCCAACTAAAACAGCAAGACTTTCTTCTTAAGGCATAAAACATTAAACATAGAAAATACCGTATTTCCAAAAATTAGACAGGTGTGGTGGCGGGCGCCTATAGTCCCAGCTATTTGGGAGGCTGAGGCAGAGAACTGCTTGAACCCGGGAGGCGGAGGTTGCAATGAGCTGAAATTGCACCACTGCATTCCAGCCTGGGTGACAGAGTGAGACTCCATCTCAAAAAAAAAAAAAAAAAAAAAAAAAAAGAAAATATTGTATTTCCCAGTGTCCTCTACTTCATGGGAAATGGATGGATTGATGAATTTGGCCTGATAATCCACTACCTGTAGGTTTTAGTGGATCTCTTGAAAGAAAGGCACAATAACCCTGATGGGTGTATGGACCAGAGCCTTTATGTCATTTATGACTAATACTATGAATTGTGTCCCCTCTCAAAATACACACGTTGGAGCCCTAATCCCCCAATGTGAAGGTATTTGGAATGAGATCTTTGGGAGGTAACTAGGTTTCGATGAGGTCAGGGAAGGAACCCTATGATTGGATTAGTGCCTGCATAAGAGGAGAGGCCAGACAGCTTGCTTGCTCGCTTCTCCTGCCATGTGAAGACATAGTGAGAAGGCAGCCATCTACAACCCAGGAAGAGAGCCCTCACCAGAAACCAACATGCTGGTACTTTTGTATTAGACTTCCCAGTCTCCAGAACTGAGAGAAAATAAACGTCTTGTCATTTCAGCCACAAAGTATTTTGTTACGGCATCCTGCCAAAGAAAGGTAAGGATCATGGCCACTTAAAACATTAAGAAGTCATCGTAACCAAAACAATAATCTACTATAACAAGACAAAACCCTTTGCATTGATCATCTTCTTGGCTCTCAATAATAAACTTGGGCTAACCAAGCATTCTACCCAGATGGATAGTACAACCTTTAAAACTTATATATAATATTTAATCTAATTCTTACTGGATATGAGCCCACCCAAAGGTGGAAAATATGTTCAAACATTCTGTTCTAGATCGTGTAAGTAGTCTCTTTGATTTTTTGAGATGGAGTCTTGCTCTGTTGCCCAGACTGGAGTGCAGTGGCGCAACTGTGCTCACTGTAACTTCTGCCTCCTGGGTTCAAGCGATTCTCCTGCCTCAGCTTCCTGAGTGGCTAGTACTACAGGCACGTGCCACCATACTTGGCTAATTTTTGTATTTTTAGTAGAGAGGGGTTTGACCATGCTGGCCAGGCTTGAACTCCTGACCTCAGGTGATCTGCCCACCTGGGCCTCCCAAAGAGCCGGGATTACCTGATTAAGAGTCTACAGCTGGCTGCAGTCTCTTAATAGATTTTCTAAATCATTGGTAAAATGAAATTAAGGCCACGTGTGGTGGCTTACATCTGTAATCCTAGCACTTTGGGAGGCTGAGATGGGCTGATTGCTTGAGCCCAGGAGTTCCAGATTAGCTTGGGTAACACGGCAAAATCCATCTCTACTAAAAATACAAAAACTGAGGTGGAAGGATCACCTGAATCTGGGGAGGTCAGGGCTACAGTGTGATGGCATCACTGCATCCCAGGCCTCTGCAACAGGGGGAGACTCCATCTCTAAAACAAAAAACCAATAACCAACTGCACATCAGTAACATGAAGTGTATTTTACTTGTGTGGCATCTCAATTAAAATTATCTCAATTTCAGCCTCCAGGCACGGAGGCTCATGCCTGTAATACCAGCACTTTGGGAGGCTGATGGAGGTGGATCACCTGAGGTCAGGAGTTCGAGACCAACCTGGCCAACATGGTGAAACTTTGTCTCTACCAAAAATAACAAGCAAGCAAAAAAATGGGTGCCTGTATTCACAGCTACTCGAGAGGCTGAGGCAGGAGAATCACTTGAACCCAGGAGGCGGAGGCTGCAGTGAGCTGAGATCTAGCCACTGCACTCCAGCCTGGGCAACAGAGCAAGACTCTGTCTAAAAAAAACCAAAACAAAACCACAAATTCACTCCCTCGGGTAAAAGCAGATTCACTTGCATAATTTTATAGGTGAATCTGAAAGACAAGCAGCATTTAGATGTTCTGCTTCTTTCCTAATGCTCAACTATACCTCAGCCTTATTTGATGTAATTGTGCCTGGAATTCTGTCTCTGTACCTTTCCAATAATATTTACCATCTACTACTAATAATAAAAAAGACATATTAACAAGTGTTGACTTCCAGTGACTCAAATCTCCACATCTCAGCCTCTAGGTCATGATAATAGCAATATTAATTGTTTTCTCAGGCAATAAAATGTATTGGCATGTTTATAAATACCGGTTAATTTAAAAGGAAGATAAGAAATCTTTCAACTATGAGCAGCCTTGCCCACAGTAAGGGCTCATTAAATGTTTGTTTATTGAATGATTGTTGACTAAATAAACTTTTCCCAGATTTTTAACATTTCTAGCTGATTTCACTATGCTAACCTTCACCCACTTGTAATTTGTAGATGTAATAAGTTTTTACTAATAATTGAGCGTATAAAGTGGCCTAACTTAATGTTGAATAAATATCTCATGATAAAGACTTACTGGTTATTATTTTGCTGGTTTGGTTTTGTTTGTATTTTGGCTAATTGAAACCCACACAGTTGAAAGAAATACATTGCTCCAAAATACTTAAAAAAAAAGGTGGAGGGGTGCAATGGCTTACAGCTGTAATCCCAGCACTTTGGGAGGTTGAAATGGGCAGATCACCTGAGGTCAGGAGTTCGAAACCAGACTGGCCAACATGGCGAAACCCTGTCTCAACTAAAAATATAAAACTGCTGTGCGTAGTAGTGGGTGCCTGTAATCCCAGCTACTCGGGAGGCTGAGGCAGGAGAATCGCTTGAACCCAGGAGGTGGAGGCTGCAGTGAGATCATGCCATTACACTCCAGCCTGCAACCAGAGCTAAACTCCATCTTTAAAAAAAAAAGCTTTTTGTTTTTTTCGAATTTACAACAACTTTTCCTTTCCATTTTTTGGAGACACGGTCTCATTCTCATTGCCCAGGCTGGAGTACAGTGCCGTGATCGTGGCTCACCGTGTCATCTCTCAGCCTCTTGGGTAGCTGGAGCTACAAGCATGTGCCACCCTACCCAGCTAAATTTTTGCACTTTTAGTAGAGACAGGGTCTATGTTGCACAGGCTAGTCTCAAACTCCTGGGCTCAAGCAATCCTCCCACCTTGGCCTCCCCAAGTGTTTGGATTACAGGCATCAGCCTTTCCTGTTCTTTCTACCTCTAAATTACATAATAATATTTACTTTTTACTTTTTTTTTTTTTTTTGATACAGAGTATCACTCTGTCTCCCAGGCTGGAGTGCAATGGTGCAATCTCGGCTCACTGCAACCTCTGCCTCCCGGGTTCAAGAGAATCTCCCGCCCTCAGCCTCCTAAGTAGCTGGGATTACAGGCATGCGCCAACCATGCCTGGCTAATTTTTTGTATTTAGTAGAGGCAGGGTTTTACCACGGTGGCCAGGCTGGTCTTAAACTCCTGACCTCAGGTGATCCACTAGCCTCAGCCTCCCAAAGTACAATTTTTACTTTCAAGTTGTAAGACGTTTTTTTTTTCCTGCTGAATGCAAATCCCTTATCAGACTTTATTATTTGCCAAAATTGTTTTTTGGCAAATAATAAACCTTTTTCATAAATGGTGCTGGAACAATGAGAAACTGACATGCAAAGAAATAAAACCCTAATACAATTTTAAGTTCTTGTTGTTGTTGTTGCTTTGAGACAGTCTCACTCTGTCAGCCAGGCTGGAGGGCCATGATCTCAGCTCACTGCAACCTACACCTCCTGCGTTCAAGTGATTGAACTTGAACCTCCTTCCTCAGCCTCCCGAGTAGCTGGGATTACAGGCATGAGCCACCACGCCTGGCATAAAATTATAAGTTTTAACAAAAATTAATACAAAATGGATCACAGACCTAACATAAGAGCTAAAACTATACAACTTTTAGAAGAAAAAATAAGGATAAATCTTCATGATCTTCCATTATGCAAAGGCTTATCAGATAAGAAACCAAAACTACAAGTGACAAAATAATAAACTGGCCTAACCCAAAATTAAAAGTGTTTGTGTTTCAAAGGATATCATCAAGAAAATGACAAAAGCAACCCACAGGAGAGAAAATATTTGCAAATCATATCTAATAAGGGAATTGGGTTAAGAATGTATCCAGGCTGGGCGCAGTATAAAATTGTGGATCACCTAAGGTCAGGCGTTGGAGATCAGCCTGGCCAACATGGTGAAATCCCATCTCTACTAAAAATACAAAAATTACCCGAGTGTAATGATGCACACCTGTAATACCAGCTACTGGGAGGCTGAAGCTGGAGAACTGCTTGAACCTGGGAGGTGGAGGTTACAGTGAGCGGACATTGTATCACTGCATTCTAGCCTGGGCAACAGAATGAGCCTCTGTCTAAAAAATAAAAAAAAGAGAATGTATCCAAATCAATCCCTGTAACAATTAAATAGTAAACAGATAATTCAACTGAGTAACAGGCTGAAGATCTGAACAGATGTTTCTCCAAAGAAGATATACAAAAATGGACAATAAACCCAGGAAAAGATCCGTAACACATCATTAGTTATCAGACAGACGCAAATCAAAACCACAATGAGAGACCATTTCATACACATTAGATTGGCAATAGTTGGTTTTTTTTTTTTTTTTTTTTTTTTGAGACAGTTTCCCCCTTATTGCCAGGCTGAAGTGCAATGGCGCAATCTCGGCTCATCTCCTCCCTCAGCCTTCCCTAGTAGCTGGGATTACAGGGCTTGCCATCATGCCCCACTCATTTTTTTGTATTTTTAATAGAGACGAGGTTTCACTGTGCTGGCCAGGCTGGTCTCGAACTCCTGAACTCAGGTGATCCACCCACCTCAGCCTCCCGAAGTGCTGGGATTACAGGCATAAACCACCTCACCCGGCTGGTGATAATTTTTAAAAAGGACATAATAACAAGCGTTGGTGAGGATGCGTAGAAACTGAAACTCTCACTCATTGTTGGCAGGAATGTAAAATTGTGTAGTTACGTCAGAAAAGTTTCACAGTTTTTCAAAATGTTAAACATAGAATTACCAAATGACCCAGCAATTCCACTCTTAAGTATACACCCAAGAGAAACGAAAACATTATGTCCACACAAATCTTGAACATGAATGTTCTTATTAGTTACTATAGCAAAAATGTGGAAACAACCCCAATATCTATCACCTGGTGAATACAGAACACTGGACTGCCATCTGGTGATAAAAAGAAATGAAGTAGTGACATATATCACACCTGTATGAACACTGAAAATATGCTTAGTGAAAAGAAGCCAGTCACAAAAGACCACATAGATTTCATTTACATGAAGTGTGCAGAAAAGGAAATTCAGAGACATAGCAAATAGATGAGTGGTTGCCAGGGAATGGGAAGTGCTGTGGGGGAGGAAGAGTGACTGCTAATGGATGCAGGGTTTCTTTTTGGGGTGATTAAAATGTTCTAAAAGTAGATAGAGGGATGTCTGCAGATCTGCTTGAATTTACTTAAAAACCATTTATTGTAAACTTTAAATGCATGAAATGTGTAATAACGTAATCTCAATAAAACTGTTAAAAACAAAAACAAAAGGCTGGCCTTGGTGGCTCCCACCTGTAATCCCAGCACTTTGGGAGGCCAGTGGGAAGATCACCTGAGATTGGGAGTTAGAGACCAGCCTGACCAACATGGCAAAACCCCCGTTCCTACTAAAAATAAAGAATTAGCCAAGTGTAGTGGCACATCCCTGTAATCCCAGCTACTTGGGAGGCTGAGGCAGGAAAACTGCTTGAACCCAGGAAGCAGAGGTTGCGTTGAGCCAAGATCGCGCCACTGTACTCCAGCCTGGGCGACAAGAGCAAAACTCTCTCTCAAAAACAAAAACCTCAGATGTAGGTGTGTGGACTCCCCAACACTATTTATGTCCCCTCACAAAGGTACTGAAAATTGATTGAGAAGTATATACTTCTCCAATTTGAAACAGACAAAAATCAAGATCCTTCAAGTCACTTTTTTTTTTTTTTTTTAGATGGAGTTTCACTCTTGTTACCCAGACGAGTGCAATGGTACGATCTCAGCTCACCGCAACCTCCGCCTCCTGGGTTCAGGCAATTCTCCTGCCTCAGCCTCCTGAGTAGCTGGGACTACAGGCACGCGCCACCATGCCCAGTTATTTTTTTATATTTTTAGTAGAGATGGGATTTCACCTTGTTGACCAGGATGGTCTCAATCTCTTGACCTCGTGATCCACCCGCCTTGGCCTCCCAAAGTGCTGGGATTACAGGCTTGAGCCACCGCGCCCGGCCACTTTTTTTGTTTTCTTTTTTTTGAAGACAGAGTCTCGTTCTGTTGCTCAGGCTGGAGTGCAGAAGCGTGATCTTGGCTCACTGTAACCTCTGCCTCCTGGGTTTAAGCAACTCTTGTGCCTCAGCCTTCCAAGTAGCTGGGATTACAGACACATGCCACCATGCCTGGCTAATTTTTGTATTTTTAGTAGAGATGGGGTTTCATCATGTTGGCCAGGCTGGTCTCAAATTCCTGACCTCAAGTGATCCACCTGCTTTGGCTTCCCAAAGTGCTAGGATTACAGGTGTGAGCCACCGCGCCTGGCCAAAGTCACCTATTTTTATAGCATTAGCCTAAATGCATATTAAAAATGCTTGGCAAGTATAACAAGTTCTTAGAAAGGTCAGCTCTTGCCTCCATCTCCCCTTCCCCTTTTTAAACTGGCAACACACTAGTGTTCAGGAAAACCAGAAAAACTGTATCTCAATGAGTAGTAAGTATTTGTCCAGGAAGATTTAGGAAACTCACTTTTAGTAGAAAATTAATCAGCAAAATCCTCTAAGCATTTCTGATGGGGTTTTCCTCAACACACACCCCAGCACAAACTTTGGGGATGGCAGGAGAGCAGCTCTGAGAAAAGCTCTCTGCATCAAACCCCTAAAGCACTCACCTTCACCCAACAGCTTCAACAGGACTGCCCTGGCCATGTCAGCATTTTATGTAAGTCATCTCTTGTCCTTTCCCCCTCCCTGGCAACTGCCAGAGGAGCCTAATTTACTAGGGCTCCTTCCTACTGTCCTGAAGCCCAGCTTTAAAGCCATATGTCCACTTTTATCATTGGCCATATACTACGTGCAGTTATCGATAAACTGATAGAAGCAGATAATCCTACAGAGGCAAGAATGGTCCAACCATTTGAAGAAGCCAGGTCTGGATCCTACTGAGGGACTATGCTAACTTCTCTTCCTGGGTCCATAAGGGGCATGGTTTCAAAGGCAAGAACTTCCCAGCGCCATGCCTCCATCCGCCTCTGCATCGGGGAACCTAGAGTTCTTTGTCTAACTTTCCCACGCCTGAGCTAGGTAAAATTCTAGGTGGGCTTCCTTTGTTCAGAAAGCCCGCCGAATGCCCTGGAAGGAGACGCTCAGTTGTGGGCCCAAGCAACCAATCTGGAATCAGAGTCAAGGATCAATGACTCCAGGGGAAGTTTGAAAGAACTCCTCTCATTGGACAAGAACATAAATGGAGCAGAAATAACTTCAAAGTTAAAACTCCACTGCACCTTGCCTGCGCGCATTTCCCTCTCTGGGATCCCCTCCCACAACAGCATGGGAGCTCTCTCTCTACCTCTCTCTCTCTCTCTCATAAATCTCTCTCTGCAAAACTCTTTGGTTCCTATATTTACTTAGCAGGTAACCTCACCATGCCGCCAGGGCCTCTCCCCCATTCCTGGGGCGAAGGAGCCCAAGAACGTGGGATACCTGGTTACACTTCCATACTCTGTACTTTTGGTATGATTCATATGAGTTCATCACTAAACAAAATGCCTGTAACATAGTTGACTCCAGGGAGGAAACAAATGTTGAGTGTCCACCCTCTAGAGGTAGGGAGAAAAGATACACAAAACTGGCCGGGTGCAATGGCTCATGCCTATAATCCCAGCACTCTGGGAGGTGGAGACGGGTAGATCACCTGAGGTCAGGAGTTTGAGACCAGCCTGGCCAATATTGTGAAACCCTGTCTAAAAGTAAAAACACACAAAAAAAATTAGCCAGGTGTGGTGGCAGGCACCTGTAATCCCAGCTACTCAGGAGGCTGAGGCAGGAGAATCATTTGAACCTGGGAGGTGGCGGTTGCCGTGAGCTGAGATTTGGCACTGCACCCCAGCCTGGGCAACAGAATGAGCCACCGTCTCAAAAATAAAATAAAAACACACACAAAAAAACCAACAAACAAAATGAGACCTTATATCATCTGCATTTTCCTGTTTCATATGTGTCTCTTCTGTACTTAACTAGACTGATTCGTTGGATGTTGGAAACTTTCTGCATGCTAATACTTTTGTTCGTTTTTTGAGACAGAGTCTTGCTCTGTGGCCCAAGCTGGAGGGCAGTGGCACAATCTTGGCTGACTGCAGCCTCCGCCTCCCGGGTTCAAGCAATTCTCCTGACTCACCCTCCCAAGTAGCTGTGATTACAGGCGCTCATCACCACGCCCAGCTAATTTTTGTATTTTTATTAGAGACGGGGTTTCACTATCTTGGCCAGTCTGGAATTCCTGACCTCATGATCTATCCACCTTGGCCTCCCAAGGTGATGGGATTACAGGCACGAGCCACCGTGCCTCACCTGCATGCTACTTCTTTTTCTGCCCTAGCCCCAGAAAAAGAGAACATTTCATTTCACATCAATAGAAGGCACTCAGTGATGCTGGGGGAACACAGAGATTCCATGTCAGCGACAGTTGGGATCTCAAGTGCAACTTCAGCCGGCGATTCTTCCGAACACACAGCACCTGCGACTTACATGTGAACATCAGGACAACACAGAGAATAACAGAGGTGTGGACAACACTCCGAGGGCTGAGGACATGGATCATACTGGCTGGCTAGGAAAGTTCCACAGAGAAGATGAAAAGCAGTTTAGGCTGCCCACAGACTTCAGAGGCAGGAACACAATTTTCGCACTGTAGTAAGAGAAACTCAAGGTTTACCTTCCCAGGAATATGTTCCCCATTGGCCTGACACAGTCCTGGTGCCCTAAACTTCAGCGTTCAAGTTCATACACTGTTGGTGCTAATTCAAAAAATATTTTAAAATATGTTTCTGCAGAAGGTAAAAAAAATAGTTTAACCTTGTATTTTTCACATGAGTAATGTATAGGCCCATTTTAAAGGAAAAAAGCCTCACCAAATCCCCCACCCCACATCCAGAGCTCTCATTTGAGTAACATTGATTTATGAAAACAAAATATTGGCTGGCTGTGGTGGCTCATGCCTAGAATCCCAGCACTTTGGGAGGCCGAGGCAGACGGATCACCTGAGGTTCAGAGTTCAAGACAAGCCTGACCAATGAGCAACATGGAGAAACCCTGCCTCTACTAAAAATACAAAGTCAGCCAGGCATGGTGGTGCATGCCAGTAATCCCAGCTACTCGTGAGGCTGAGGCAGGAGAATAGCTTGAATCCGGGAGGCAGAGATTGCAGTGAGCTGAGATCGCACCATTGCACTCCAACCTGGGCAACAAGAGCAAAACTCCGTCTCAAAAATAAAATAAAATATGATTTTATTGCTCTATCTTTCAGCTGTAAAATATTGCTATAAAAGAAGCTTTCTTTGTAACTTTTTTTTTTTGAGACAGGGTCTCTGTCACTTAGGCTAGAGTGCAATGGCACAATCATGGCTCCCTGCAGCCTTGACCTCCCAGGCTCAAGCAATCCTTCCACCTCAACCTCCCAAGTTGCTGGAACTACAGGTGCATGCCACCATGGCTGGCTAATTTAAAAAATTTTTGAGGATACAGGATCTCAGTATGTTGCCGGGGCTGGTCTCAAACTCCTGAGCTCAAGTGATCTGCCCACCTTGGCCTCCCAAAGTCCTGTGATTACAGGCATGAGCCGCTGCATCCAGCCAGTAAAATAAAATCATTGTGACAAACACAATTTTAAAAATTCTTATGCATCTCTAAAAGCTCAGAAATCCTTGTTTGAGAAACAGAACTTTAAACTATTTAACGGTTTCTCTGGATTTAATATCCAGCCCTCAGCACACGGCCTGACATGTAGCAGCAATTCACTAAACTTTTTCTGAGCAGATGAATTCTATCTGGGGAAAGAAGCTGGGGAAAGTCCAAGGTTTAAAACACTACTGAGGTAGATGAACTCAAAATCTAGGCACTGAACTGAGATCCTAGGTAGGTGGATATTTAAAATGCACGCGCGAGCACACACACACACACACACACACACACGTGCCTGAGAGTATCATACAGGAATCTGATGAGGCAATAAAGTCACTAGGATGAGCTAACTCTGCCAACAGTTACCTCCAAGAAACCAGCTGACACGCATTCTCAATTGAGTCTCCAGCCCCACAGGTGTACGCCTAGAGTAGTCTATTTTTTTTCTACCTTTCCGTCACAATACCTGGGAGATGTCAGAGAGGGCAGACACAAAGCATGGTCCAATGGGAAATGCCAGGCTCTGAAGTCAACCAGCTCTGGATCCTAGTGCTCCCGAGTCTGTGTCCTTGTGCACAATTCTGAAATTCCAACATGCAGCCTCCACATGAGCAAAATGGAACAAACTGCTATTGCACAGTGTGGCTGGGGGTTACAGTGAGAAGGTATTAAGCACAGCATTGGTGCTTAATAAAGCCAGTTCCCTGACAGAGGCTGGAACATGGCCCCCGCTACTATCGACAGCCATGAAGAAAGAAGAGTGAGGTGGGAAAGGCTTCCCAGCGCGGGCGTCAACACAGTAACATCGTCTTTAGAAAGGGTGGGAGCAGACAGTGAGGAAGGGAAAAGGTAGAGGCGCCTGCATGAGGGAGGTAAGCGTGTTTTGTGGCTGAGTGAAAAAAAAAAGAGGAAGAGGATTTACAATATGTTCATGTAAGGCTCCGGGCAGAATTTAAAGTCACTCTATCGGCTCAGCAAAATGAGAAGATCGTCTTTCTGACAAATCCCAACAGAAGATGTGTCAGTGAGCTAAAAGTATCTTGGTAGCTTCTTCCATCTGGGCTGCTATCACAAAATACCATAGACTGGGTGGCTTATAAACAGCAGAAATTTCTTTCTCACAGTTCTGGGGCCAGAAAGGCCAAGATCAAGGTACTGGTGGAACCTGGTGAGAGGCCATTCACAGATGACTGTGTTCTGGTGTGTCCTCACATGGCAGAGGCCTCTTTCGTAACAGCGCTCATCCCATTCATGAGAGTTCCACCCTCCAACCTAACCAGCTCCAAGAGGTCCCACCTCCTGAGACCTTCAACCTTCAGGGTTAGGATTTCAATATATGGATTTTACGGGGACAGAAATGTTCAGTCCACTGCACTTGGCAAAAAAAGGAAAAGGAGGCTGGGCGCGATGGCTCACTCCTGTAATCCCAGCACTTTGGGAGGCAGAGACGGGCAGATCACAAGGTCAGGAGTTCAAGACCAGCCTGGCCAACATGGTAAAACCCCATCTCCACTAAAAAATACAAAAGGTAGTTGGGCGTGGTGGTGCCTGCCTATAAACCCAACTACTCGGGAGGCAGAGGTTGCAGGGAACCGAGATCACCCCACTGCACTCCAGCCTGGGTGACAGGGTGACACTCCCTCTCAAAGGAAAAAATAAATAGAAAAGAAAAGAAGAAAGGGCAAGATTGGGACAAGATTGAGGAAATGAGGTAATGAACTCCAGAATAACTTTCTAGCACCTGAGTAACCTTTTGGTTTACCTTCGGGGGCATTTCCCTCAAGCAGCGTTAGGGATTCATTGGGCTGAGGATAGAGCCATACTTAGGACATTATCTTTCAATCCTCAGGCCACACCGGCTCACCCCAAACTTAATTTCAGACTATAGAAAAACCAGACTAAAATGAAGCCAGGATACAGCATAATCATAACCATGTTATTCTGAGTGTGCATGCAGACAGGGGTCTGGAAGTGCTTGGAAAAGCAAAATACAGTTGAAATGTACTGGGTGTAAGAAGGAAAAAAAAGAAAAAAAAAACAACCAAAAAAAGAATAAATGTACTGGGTGGTGGGACTGAGGAAAATTCTCCCTTTAAAAATAATTCTGATCTTATTAGTGCAATGCATAAAAGCTGGGAAGGGAAAAAACATCAAGAATGGCCCAATCTCCTTGATGTCACTCAGCCCATAGCAGGAAAATCTGGACTGAGACCACTGTTGAAATCCTACACCCCACCGTGCCTGGCTTCTAGTCCATTCAATCGTAGGCCAGATGCAGCTGCAGCTGAGGCCAGAGCTTAGGGGAATGAAAGGCTTAAGACTAAATTTCCTTTTGTTTTGTTTGTTTTGAGATGAAGCCTTGCTCTGTCACCCAGGCTGGAATGCATTGGCACCATCTGGGCTCACTGCAACCTCTGCCTCTTGGGTTCAAGCAATTCTCCTGTCTCAGCCTCCCGAGTAGCTGGGATTACAAGTGCCCACCACCATGCCCAGCTAATTTTTTATATTTTTAGAAAAGACAGGGTTTTACCATCTTGGGCAGGCTGGTCTCGAACTCCTGACATCAGATGATGCGCCCGCCTTGGCCTCCCAAAGTGCTGGAATTACAGGTGTGAGCCACTGTGCCAGGCCTGAAGACTAAATTTCTTTCGGTCAAAACTTCAGTGCAAACTCTACTCATATAGAGCACCCTTAAAATGCAATGTGCTGACTGGATGCTGTGGCTCACTCCTGTAATCCCAGCACACTGGGAGGCCGAGGCAGGTGGATCACCTGAGGTTAGGAGTTCAAGACCAGCGTGGCCGACATGATGAAACCCCATCTCTACTAAAAATACAAAAAAAAAAAATTAGCCAGGCGTGGTGTCGCCTGCCTGCAATCCCAGCTCCTTGGGAGGTTGAGGCAGGAGAATCTCTTGAACCTGGGAGACGGAGGTTGCAGTGAACTGAGATTACATCACCATTGGGTGACAAGAGCAAAACTGCACCTAAAACATAAAAATAAAAATAAATAAAAGCAATATGCTGATAGCAGACTAAACTCAGCAATTTCTATACAACTTCATGCTAACAAATGCCTAAGCTAATTTTTTCTTACTAGTCTGAAATTTTTAGTAACTGTAGCACACACACACACACACACACACACAATCCCTGCTGAGAAACTAAACAGTATAAGAAGAATAGAGTAAGAGCCTACGCGCGGTGATTTACACTTTAAGACAGACTTAGACATGGCTCATCACTACATTCATTCTTCTGGAAAGTCTCTCTATACTCACGGACATTCATTCATTATCCATGCATTAAGCTTTTTGGCATTTTGTTTTGAGACAGAGTCTCACTCTGTCACCCAGGCTGGAGTGCAGTGGCAGGATCTCGGCTCACTGTAACCTCCACCTCCCAGGTTCAAGTGATTCTCGTGCCTTCCTTCGCCCTCCTGAGTAGCTGGGACTGCAGGTGTGCACCACCATGCATGGCTAATTTTTGTTTTTTGTAGAGACAGGGTTTCACCATGTTGCCTAGGCTGGTCTTGAACTCCCGGGGTCAAGCAATCCTCCCACCTTGCCCTCCCAAAGTGTTGGGATTACAGGCATGAGGTACAGCGCCCAGCCAGGTTTTTGTTTTTTAATGCATACCGCAATCAGTGGCGGGCTAAGCAGTAACGTGGGGCCAGGATGGTCTCAAGGATGATTGCTATCTCCGGTCTTCACCACGACCTAACTCTGCCAAGGCCAACACAAACAACCCTCACAAGGGCAAGGGCGGAAGGCCCCAGTCAGTGAATATAAGTTTAATAGTTTCAAGATTATCCAAAAAATATTTTCTTGGAGAAATAAGCCATGACAGGAAAAAGCAAAGCTTAGTTTTTGTCTGCCTCCCTCTAGAAAAGCCCCCCCTTGCCCTCTCCATTGCTCCTCCCACTCCATACTTTGTTCACACCTGTTTCAGCACCCACACTGTAGCACTGCCTGTGTCTACACACCTGTCTCCACCATCAGATTGTGAGCTCCTTAAGAAACTAGGCCCAGCTGGGCACAGTGGCACACACCTATAATCCCAGCACTTTGGGAGGCCAAGGCAGGAGGATCGCTGGAGTCCAGAAGTTCAAAACCAGCCTTAGCAACACAGCGAGACCCCCTTATCCCTACAGAAAAATACAAAAAAATTAGCTCGTGTGTTGGTGCACACCTGTGGACCTAGCTAGCTGGGAGGATGAGGTGGGAGAATCGCTTGAGTCTGGGATGTCGAGGCTGCAGAGAGCTGTGGTCCCACCACTGTATTCCAGCCTGGATGACAGAGCAAGACTTCCCCATACCCCTCAAAAAGAAACTAGGCCCACTACACCTGTGTACCCCAAACTCAGGCACAGCCTGGCACACAGTAGATGCCCAACCTGCCCTGCTGTTCTTAGATCATCCTGGTTTATTCCAGCATAATTATCAGTGCTCTCTTTTGCTCTCAGAAGTGCCCAGTGTGAACACTATATCCTGTGATCTCCCTATCAGTAAACAGTAAATACATCTTGGCCCTTGATGTTTATAAGATCTTGTTCCGTGATCTGCTGTGGTTACTGCTGGTGAGCAGAGCAACAGGTAACATGGGTTGAAAGATGGGTACAGCCGGATGCTGTGGCTCACACCTGTAATCCCAGCACTTTGGGAGGCTGAGGCGGGTGGATCATGAGGTCAAGAGATCGAAACCATCCTGGTTAACATGATGAAACCCCATCTCTACTAAAAATACAAAAAAAATTAGCTGGGCATGGTGGCACGTACCTGTAATCCCAGCTACTCAGGAGGCTGAGGCAGGAGAATTGCCTGAACCCAGGAGGCGGAGGTTGCGGTGAGCCGAGATCGCACCATTGCACTCCAGCCTGGGTGACAAGAGCGAAACTCTGTCTCAAAAAAAAAAAAAAAAAAAGAGAAAAGAAAGATGGGTAGAGACCCTGAGGAGAAGGTGATCCAGAAATGAGTTTTGTTAAGAGTTAGAGGCGGGGCATGGTGTCTCACACCTGTAATCTCAGCAGTTTTGGAGGCTGAGGTAGGAGAAATGCTTGAACCCAGGAGTTCAAGGCCAGCCTGGGCAACACGTATTGAGACCCCCGTATCTACACAAAATGTAAAAAGTTAGCCAGGCATGGTGGTGCACACTTGCAGTCAGAGCACTCAGGAGGTGAGGCGGAAGGACTGGCAGAGCCTGGGAGGTTGAAGCCTCAGTGAGCTGCGACTGCACCACTGTGCTCCAGACTGGCCAAAACAGTAAAACCCTGTCTCCAAAGAAAACAAAAAGCAGCCATGGCTGGTGGCTTGGATTTGTCACAGCAGATTTCCCTTCTAATTACTTATTAACCCTTTGATAACAGTATCAGTCTTGCCTCTCCTTGGCTCCGCTGGGCACACTGGCATGGTTTGGGCATGGGATGAGACTGGCAATGGCAAAAATGTACTGGGAGCAATGGGGAAGGCTCTGCTGTGATTGACAGTGTTGGCGAGTGTTCAGCATTCCCACCTGGATCTCCCTGCCTCAGTGGCTCAGTACCCTGCCCACGATGCCAACTCCTCTCCAGTGCCCTGAGAAATGGAAAAACTGGCCGGGCATGGTGGCTAACACCTGTAACCCCACCACATTGGGAGGGTGAGGCAGGTGGATCACCTGAGGTTGAAAGTTCAAGACCAGCCTGACCAACACAGAGAAACCCGTCTCTACTAAAAATACAAAATTAGTTGGGCATGGTGGCCCGTGACTATAGTCCCAGCTACTCGGGAGGCTGAGGCAGGAGAATCACTTGAACCCAGGAGGTGGAGGTTGCAGTACCAAGATTACACCATGACCCTCTAGCCTGGGCAACAAGAGCAAAACTCCATCTCAAAAAAAGAAAAAAAGGAAAAACCGCCAGGCATGCTGGCTCACTCCTATAATCCCAACACTTTGGGAGGCCCAGATGGGTGGATAGCATTAGGTCAGGAGTTTGAGACCAGCCTGGCCAACATGGTGAAACTGTCTCTACTACATACAAAATTAGCTAGGTGTGGTGGTACATGCCTGTAATCCCAGCTACTTGGGAGGCTGAGGCAGGAGAACTGCTTGAAACTGGGAGGTGGAGGTTGCAGTGAGCTGAGATCATGCCACTGTACCCCAGCCTGGGCAACAAAAGCCAAACTCCATCTCAATCAATAAAAATAAAAATACAAAAATTACCTGGGCATAGTGGCACATGTCTGTATTCCCAGCTACTTGGGAGGCTGAGGCAGGAGAATCGCTTGAATCTGGGAGGCGGAGGTGGCAGTGAGCCAAGACTGCACCATTGCACTCCAGCTTGGGCGACAGAATGAGACTCTGTCTCAAAAAAAAAAAAAAAAAAACCAAACCCTGAGCTTTCCTTACAGTCCTCCAGGATGAGAGGGAACATCAAGAATGAAAGAAGGTGAGGATGGGGCTGAGTCAATGACGGCACTCGGCTCAGGGTCCTGGCTGATATGGCACAGCAAGGGGCATGTTAATATGGCTGCCAGACGCACTGATAGCAAGGAATTATCCAGGTGGATGCCATGTGTCCCGGGGTCTGGCCTCCTTACAGCATAGTAAGTATAGGAGACTAGGACCACCAGTCTCCACAGGTCCTTCTTCCCCCCATCTAATTGCCACAGACAAGGGCAAGCACAGGCAGCCAGGCGGGAGGGGAGTTACTATTACTCCACCTGTCTGGCCTGTTTCCTCTGGTTCCAGAGAAACTCCTCCTTGGATTTAGGGGCCCACAGGGACTTCCCAACTCTCGCCGCTCATTAAGCCTGTTTGATTTAAAAGGAGAAGATTAAATACACAGCTCACAGCCAAGATTCCAAATGTTAAGCCAGCCTTCCCTTTGTGGTTGGGGTACCCTGCTAAGCAGTACTAGTAATTAACATCTAAAGCTGGGTTCTGAGCGGCTGGAGGGGGTGGGAGTCGGGGAAGAAGGGGCCCTGGCTCTAGGCCCGGCTTGGCTGTTTTTACTAGTCCATGATCTGAGCCATTCATTTGGTTTCTTCATTTTTCCCTACCGGGAACTGACCCTCTACCTAACCTCCATCCCCTGTGAGCAGGCTGTGAAAAATCAAAGAGGGTTAATAGAGTCATTTTGCAAAAGCATTAAAAAGGCCCACAGCACTGCACTGTCCAACAGGATACCCACTCGCCACATGCTGCTACTTAAACCTAATTAAAATGAAAAATTCAATTCTTGGGTCAGGCGCATCACGTTTTGCACGTGGCTAGTGGCTGCCGTTTGGCCACCTCACGTAACACGGCATCACCCGTTAAGTTCTAATGGACAGCACTGCCCCACAGCTTCTCTTGGTCTCTCCACACACACAAAAAAGAATACCCCAGCCTTGTCAATGCTCAGGAGAGCAATGCTTCCTATGTGGTTTGTTTTTGGGGGCTTTGTTTTTGTTTTTGGAGGGGGACAGTCTCTCTCTGTCACCCAGGCTGGACTGCAGTGGCACCACCTGGGCTCACTATAACCTCTGCCTTCTGGGTTCAAGCGATTCTCTGGCCTCAATCTCCTGAGTAGCTGAGATTACAAGGTATGCCTGGCTAATTTTTGTATTTTTAGTAGAGACAGGATTTCACCATGTTGGCCAAGCTGGTCTCGATCTCCTGACCTCAAACGTTCTGCCCACCTCAGCCTCCCAAAATGCTGGGATTACAGGCGTGGGCCACTGCACCTGGTCCCCATGTCTTTTAATGCCTCCAAGGAGAGGAGACCCTTACTCGGACACAGTAGGGCCACCACCAGGCCCACTTCCAAATTCTAGAAAGTGGCACCGTTTTTCTTCCAACACTTAAAACTAGCGTTGGTGAGTAAGCAGCTTTCCATGCAAGGCTCCTACTGCCTTTATACTCAGATGGCCCTTTCAGACCTAATCTATTATTTACACAGTCCTACTTTTAAGAAAACGCATTTCAAACATTTTCTCAACAGGAGCGTGAGGTCCGTGTGAAGCCAGGGACCAGGAGACCCAGGCACTTCCCTCCCATCCTCCTGACAGGCTTTTCTGAAGAGCACCAGAAAATGGCCAACTTGAACTATTTAACAAAACAAAAAGACACAGTTGTCCCTCCGCCAAGTGTTAAAAACATTCCAAGAGAAAGGGCCGAAACAGAAGCTCCTCCCCTCCAATCTGTTCCTCATCTGTCCAAGGACTTATTGGCTCTCACAGTAAATTAATCAATTGCCAAAAGAGAGCTAAAACCTTGACTCCAACATAAATACTTCTTGGTAACAATCCCTCAGCATGACACTTCAGATTTCAAGTGGCTGGGTGGCCTTCCAAACGCCTCATTAAATGGCTACTTTATAGCATTAAGAGGAAAAGGCTCTGGGATTTTCTGTACAAATGTATAAATCAATCTTTTCAAAGACAACAGAACAACTACTCACACAATCTACGTGATCGGGGGACACGGGGAGGAGCGTGGAGAAACTGAGGAAGGAGAAACTGACGCCGACGGAGGTTGGTCTAAAGATTTTCTTGGCTCTGGGCATGAGGGTATCTTGACTGGGAACATTTCCATTCCGTCCAACATGTTTTTCCATTATCAAATGGGACCACTCTACTGATGGCCAGCTCCTCCGCCCTGTGCGTATCATCCCAGACTGACTTCCTATCCCTCAACAGCATTTCTCATAAAGATTTCCAACTCACAGGCCGTTAAAATCAGTCAAGTTTATGGACTTCTCTCACAGAATGATTTAGTGTTGAGAAAAACTACATCCTCAACAGCTGGTTAATCACGACCCTCTGTGTCTAAGACATGGTAAGAGTTAGGAAAGCACACATTCTCCTCTCCCCCCAAATAATTTTATGTGCCTTGTAGCGTATAAACCACCAAGTTAACAGCCAAGCGTAGACATCACTGCCTCACAACTCCGAGTACATAGCCCTGATCAATCTCATTCCATTTTCTTTTTACAAAGCTTCTATGGGGCCAGGTACAGCTTCTATGGGGCCAGGTACACCTCTAATCTCAGCACTTTGAGAGGCTGGGGAGGATGGATCACCTGAGGTCAGAAGTTTGAGAACAGCCTGGCCAACATGGCGAAACCCATCTCTACTAAAAATACAAAAATTTGCAGGCTGGGCATGGTGGCTTCCACCTGTAATCCCAGCACTTTGGAAGGCAGAGGTGGGCAGATCACCTGAGGTTGGGAGTTCAAGACCAGCCTGACCAACATGGAGAAACCCCATCTCTACTAAAAATACAGAGTTAGCCAGGCATGGTGGCACAAGCCTGTAATCCCAGCTACTCGGAAGACTGAGGCAGAAGAATTGCTTGAACCCAGGAGGTGGAGGTTGCAGTGAGCCGAGATTGTGCCGTTACACACCAACCTGGGCAACAAGAGCGGAAACTCCGTCTCAAAAACAAAAAAAGCAGCTGGGTGTGGGGGCATGTACCTGTAATCCCAGTTACTCAGGAGGCTGAGGCAGGAGAATTACTTGAACCCAGGAGGCGGAGATTGCAGTGAGCCGAGATCATGGCACTACACTCAGCCTGAGTGATAGAGTGAGGCTCCATCTCAAAAAAAAAAAAAAGGAGGAAGGTGGGGGGGGGAGGGAGAAAGGGAGGGGAAGGGAGGGAGGGAGGGGAAGGGAGGGGAAAGAGTGAGCTTCTATGGGCAATATCTGCACCATCCAAATTCCACTGCTGTAAATGGCCCAAAACAGCTGCACCCCTGGAACCCAGGCTTGAAAAACAGGGTCGTATCCCTCTGATGTGCCCAATCACCCACTGTGTGCTAAAGTTAACAATGCTGAAGACTCCCACTCCCTCTCCAGCTAAGCAGCCTTTCAAAGCTATGTGTGACTGTCCCTCCCATAAACTAATCCATTTTATTTTTCCTTTAGAAAAAGTGCTATTTTTATTTCTTAACTATATAAAACTGATGACTGAAAGCAAAGCGTAGGGCAGTTCTGAGACACAGTCCAAGCACAGGCAACCCTCAGCATTTGAGCCTGTGTCACTCTTGACTCTGTCCCCCTAACTGGCAGTTCTCTGTACGGCTATGCAAAATTTAGTCAGATTCCTATGGAAAAATCAGCCCCATTGTGCCAACAGAACAATGGACAATGGATAGGACAGTGAGAGGAGGGAAGCCAGCTCTGGAGATCTCAGGAATGGCACTTCTCTGCTGTAAAAATGGTTCCTATTAGAACAGCTGCCACCCTCCTAGCCCTCCTCCATCCACAATGCTGCTTTCTTTCTCAAAAAGCAAAATGAAACCAAATCAAGCCTGTGGATGAAAGTGCACACTGCTCTCAGGCTCCGAATGTGGTCCCTCCACCGGCACCAAAGTCCTTCCAGAGAGGGCGTCCCAGGACACCACAAGTGCTCCAAGCATTTCTGAAGCAAGAGTCAGTTTCCTCACACAATTCCCACTCTGCCGCTGCCTCTCCATTCACACTACATATCGATTTTGTGTGTATGTGTGTGTCAAATCTGCCTTTCCCCCAGAGCATACCAAGTATGTACTTAAAAATATCCACCACATTGTAAGATTTTCAAAACTCATCCAAGTGGTCAATACAAAGAAATCCACGGTAAGAATGAGCCCAGCCCATAGAAAACATCAAGGAAGCAGGCACAGAAGGAAGAGGCCAGACCAAGTAGGCACGAGGCACAGCCTGGCACTGGTTCTGGCACCCAGGCGGCATTCAAGAGATAGTACAGAGGCCGGATGTGGTGGCTCACACCTGCTATCCCAGCACTTTGGGAGGCCAAGGCCGGCAGATCACCTGAGGTCAGGAGTTCAAGACCAACCTGGCCAACATGGTGAAACAAAAAATGAGCCAGATGTTGTAATCCCAGCTACTTAGGAGGCTGAGGCACAGAATTGCTTGAAGCTGGGAGGCAGAGGTTGCAGTGAGCAGAGACCACGCCACTGCATTCCAGCTTGGGCGACAGAACGAGACCCAAAACAAAAACAAAGAGGCAAGTGCAGAATCTACTCGATGCAAAAGTCCCTCTGGCTCTACCTGCAACAGGCACTGGGTCCTCCCGTAAGACCTCACTTCCACCCTGGGCCGGGGCTGCAGGCCCACAGACCTCAGCATCCTTCACAAAAGCACTTTCCGTCACGGAGTATCCTGGTCCCTTGCCAACCCACAGTTCTCAGAAAGGTGGAAGGGCAACGGGAGGAATTTCTCCAGCTGGCAGAACCTCAGTGGAGAGGAGAGAGGAAGGGAGTCGGGGCAGCAAGCTCAGCAGGCTGGGAGGAAGAAGGAGCAGCAGGGAAGGAAGGGGCCCAGGGGAGGCACGTAAACAACTTGGCACTAGCAAACCCAACCACAGCTTGGAGTCGCTACCAGCCTAAGGGTTCACCCCATGCAGCAACATGCTGTAAACAAATGCACTGTTCATTGCTGAAGATATGCACTGATCCATTATTTCAGTGTGTTATTCCAACTATATAATGGTCAGGTGCGGTGGCTCATGCCTGTAATCCCAGCACTTTGGGAGGCCGAGGTGGGCAGATCACCTGAGGTCAGGAGTTCAAGACCAGGCCAGCCAACATGGTGAAACTCCATCTCTACTAAAAATACAAAAGTTAGCCTGGTGTGGTTCATGCCTGTAATCCCAGCTACTCAGGAGGCTGAGGCAGGAGAATCGCTTGAACCCAGGAGGCAAAGGTTGCAGTGAGCTGAGATCGCGCCATTGCACTCCAGCCTGAGTGATGAGAGTGAGACCCTGTCTCAAAAAAAAAAAAAAAAAAGGCAAGCTACCTTTCTGCTCTTGTATCTGAGGTTATAAGAGCTCATGTTTACCCAACTTGGCTGCCAGGACATTTACAGCTTCCATTTGGCCCCCTTGAAATCACAAAGAATGTGTTCTGGCCCAGGCCCACCACTCCAGGGAACAATAACCATTTCATACATTGGTATTTAGTTACAGAGCTATGAATGCCTGACAGCCAATCAAAATAGGGTTCCTGCAGATCAGATTTTGATCTCTGCAAATGAGGATAAAAGCTATAGCCAACTCTGGAAAAGCAAGAAAGAGAAAACACTCTGTTCATAGAATTTGAACATGCTTTCTTCTATCCATTCATAGAGATGGCTATTGAAGCGGTGATGAAATGCACTATACGCAGCACAATGTTGGGACACGGACAGTCCCCATGGCATGGAATCTTGATATGTCCTCAAAGATTTGAATAATAATTTAGGAATCTATGTCTTCAAATTAGCCAAATTTGAAAAATCTTAATTGGATTTCCATATAAAGTATAAACCAAAATGTCCATCATTGCTCCGATCTTTTAAAGGTAGGTATTGCTGAGAAAAATGTAAGTAGTCTAGCAGAGCCCAAATCAGATCTAGTGATTAAATCACAGACCAGTGTGGTCACTGAAGGCACCTTTTTCTCAATTACAGAAAAAAACATTTGTTTCTCTAACCAAGATCCTGAAGATAATGAGAAAGGCTAAGAAGAAAACATTTTAAAATCTGCCTTGGAAGGGAAAACGTTACCCAATTCTTATAAATCTCTGAAGGCTGCTGCACAGGAAAGAAAAAGGAAGGACAAGGCAGTTGAAATGTAGGCAGGAAAAACCAACCAGCTGACAAACGGAGTTTGCCTCTTGCTGAAACTGATTTGACCATTCATAAAAATGCTAGATACTCTCCAAATCCTGCTAAGAGGAGACTCAGGAAACAGCTATCAGAATAACTTAGAGTTACTCTCAATCTTAGCCTTTATTCTCTAAAAAAAAATAGTGTGTGACTACTTGCTGGGGATACACTTGAGGAGAAATGTCAATTCTTAACATCCATTTGAGCATTCTGCCGCTGACAGGAATTAGAATGTAAATGGGTGGTCGCCCCAGTGAATGACCATATCAATGTCCTGGTCCAACTGCTGATCCACCTACACTGTTGGACATTGCTGTGCCTATACAGTAGGTTGGCTAATGGAGGAAGGGTGGATAGTAACAGATATTTAAACACTGGGTTAGCCATTTTCTAACAAATTCCACAATGAGCCAAGGTCATCTGACCACCAAAGAAAAGGACCTGCCCATGTCCAAGCTCTTCTCCAAGCATCCTTCATTTGTGGTCCCGCTAAGCAAGAGACAAGCTATGCCATTCAGGGTCTCGGGATCGTCTATGTTCTTCTGAAGTTGAGAAAAAGAGAATAGTGCTTTTAAAGACACATTCTAGTAAAACAGGCTGGTTGATGGGGGCACTGGGAAGGGATGGAGCCAGTTGTCTGGGAGCAAGAAAAAAGCCCCTGGGGAAGGCATGGACCAGAGAACATCTTCAGTGAATGAAGTGGTGCAGGGCAGTGCTCCCAGGCTTGCTGTGCTGTCTGCCACACATTTCAGTTACCACCAACCACAAGCAATCTGAGCATGTGAGGTGTCAGGGTGCTTGTTGAGCTAATCAATTACCATCAGGGTATTTTTCTCCTTTTCTCAAAAAATAAAATGCAAACCACTTGAAAACTCTGCACTCTGATTTATCATTATTAAAAAACTAGGACTAGAGCTAATTAATACAGAGTTATAAGGTATCTTCATAGGCAAAAATAATCTGGGCATGGTGGCTCGCACCTGTAATCCCAGGATTTTGGGAGGCCAAGGCGGATGGATCACCTGAGGTCAAGACCAGCCTGGCCTATATGGTGAAACCTGGTCTCTACCAAAAATACAAAATTAGCTGGGCGCGATGGCGTGAGCCTGTAATCCCAGCTACTTCGCAGGGTGAGATAGGAGAATCACTTGAACTCAGGAGGCGGATGTTACAGTGAGCTGAGATCACGCCATTGCACTCCAGCCTGGGCAAAAAGAGCAAAACTCCATCTCAATCAATCCATCAAGAGATCTTTCAGCAAAGTTTCTCAAGCAAATTGTTGTGAAGCAATTTTCCTTTTGACCTATATTAGGGATACCAGGTGTGATCTTACCGGAAGCAATACGATGACAGTGAACAAAGCACAGCATTTTAAAACAAATCATAAAAGAGAACAGATTGACTTTCTGGGTTGGGCGTGGTGGCTCATCCCTGTAATCCCAGCACTTTGGGCGGCTGGGGCAGGCAGATAATGAGCTCAGGAGTTCACGACCAGCCTGGCAACATAGCGAGACCCCATCCCTACCAAAATCCCCGCCCCCCCCCCCCCCCAAAAAAAATTAGCTCGGTGTGGCAGTATGTGCCTGTGGTTCCAGCTACTTGGGAGGCTGAAGTGGGAGAATCACTTGAGCCCGGAAGACCAAGGTTGCAGTGAGCTGAGACTGCACCATTGCACTCCAGCCTAGGTGACAGAGTGAGAACTCATCTCTTATTTATTTATTTATTTTTAAAGAGACAGGGTTTCACCTTGTTGGTCAGGCTCGTTTCGAACCCCTGACCTCAGGTGATCCACCCACCTTGGCCTCCCAAAGTGCTGGGATTACAGGTGTGAGCCACCCGCCCAGCCAAACTCATCTCAAACAAACAAAAAAAAAAATTGATTTTCTGATAAAGCACTAATAAATCTAAACTTAATAATCCTGTGCTACTCAGAAGTTTTAAGACAGTTGAAATTTTAAAATGCAGTAATGCTATCAAGAGTAACGATCAACACTTATCAGAAGCTTAAACTAGACCAGATAAATGCAATAATTCAGAATCCTCACCATCTCCTGTGAGTAGATATTACTAATATTCCCACTTTACAGATAAATCTGAGGCACAGATAGTTCCCAAGGTCATACAAATGAGAAAATGCTGGAACCCGGGCTGTTTCAGAACCCAGTGGTCTGAAAACCTGCATAAACACTGAGTTTTGTTTTTTTGAGACATATTTTCCCTCTGTCCCCAAGTTGGAGTGCAATGGTGCGACCTTGGCTCACTGCAACCTCTGCCTCCCAGGTTCAAGTGATTCTCCTGCCCCAGCCTCCTGAGTGGCTGGAACTACAGGCACATGCCACCACGCCCATCTAATTTTTGTATTTTTAGTTGAGACGGGGTTTTACCATGTTGGCCAAGATGGTCTTGACCTCCTGACCTTGTGATCCACCCACCTCGGCCTCCCAAAGTGCTGAGATTACAGGCATGAGCCACCTCACCTGGCCAACACGGAAAAAAAATTTTTTTTTTGAGATGGAGTCTCCCTCTGTTGCCAGTCTGGAGTGTAGTGGCACCCCGCCAACACTAAAATTTTTGAAGGAGTAAATTTGAGGCCATACCTGGTCACCGCCCAGAAGTGGGGCTCCATTGCTTTCATCTTTATGTCCCTTGGCACACAGCCTGGCTCCAGAGTCAATGCCCTATGTTACATTATGCTCAGGGAAATTTATGTAATTGTGGATGGCAGTATAATTACAGAGTTTATAATTCAAAATAGTACTGAAGACCTACAGACACTTGATTACATTTAATTATCAAGACCAACCTCCAAACAATTAGAATTAATAGGAGGATGCTGCAAGATTGTTGGAAACAAAAATCCAAATTCAGGCCGGGCACAGTGGCTCACACCTGTAATCCCAGCACTTTGGGAGCCTGAGGAAGGTGGATCACTTAAGGTCAGGAGTTCGAGACCAGCCTGACCACTATGGTGAAATCCCATCTCTACTAAAAACACAAAAATTAGCCCGGCATGATGGCACACACCTGTAACATCAGGTACTTGGGAGACTCAGAAAGGAGAGGCTGAACCTGGGAGGCAGAGGCTGCAGTGAGCTGAAACCACACTACTGCACTCCAGTCTAGGCAACAGAGTGAGACTGTCTCAGAAAACAAAACAAAACAAAAACTCAAAGATCAATAGTATTCCTTTAAACTAGCAATAACCAAATAGAGAATGCAATACTAAGAAAAAACACTGACTCGTATAGTAACCGAAACTAGAAAGTACATAGGCACGAGTCTAAAAGAAACTTTGGTAAGACATCATAAAACTTTACTGAAGGCTATAAATGAAGAAGATTTGGATTAATGAGATGAGAGACCTTATTTACGGAGAGGGGAGGACAACATTTTAAAGATGTCAATATTTCCGAAGTAATCAATAACTTCAGTGAAATTCCAATAAGAAATTTTAGGAAACTTGAAAAATATTTTAATGTTTATATGGGAAGAACTAAGAATATCTAAGCCAATTGTGAAACAGGAGTATGAAAAGGATGAACTGATTCTATCAAATATTAAAACACAGTAGGTAACTGTAGTAATTAAGACAACATAATATTAATGCAGGAACAAATTATCAGAAGGGAATAAAGAACCATAACACTGACCTTAATATTTTTAGGGACTATACATGTGAGACCAAGACCATGTTAATCAGTGCACTGGATTTTTAATCCATTTAGGGTGTGTGGTGTGTGTGTTTGTGTATGTATGTATGTATTTATTTATTTTGAGATAGAGTCTTACTCTGTGGCCCAGGCTGAGGTGCAGTGGTGCTATCTGAGATCACTGCAACCTCTGCCTCCCAGGTTCAAGCAATTCTCCCACCTCAGCCTCTCGAGGAGCCAGGATTACAGGTGTGATCGACCCCACCTGACTAATTTGTTTGTACTTTTAGTAGAGACAGGGTTTCGCCATGTTGGCCAGGCTATCTCGAAATTCTGGCCTCAAGTGATCAGCCCGCCTCGGCCTCCCAAAGTGCTGGGATTACATGCATGAGCCACTATGCCTGGCCTTGAAATATACTTTTAATTCATCTGAAGCTTGTTTTTCCCTTCCAAATGAAGATCTTATTATATATTTTCCACATGAAAGCCAAAAAAAACCCTAAATATGAAATAGTACTGGAAGAAAAATATAGAGGATATAGAGAATTTTCTTAAAGCAGAAAAGGCAGTTAAAATGAATCACTCCATTAACATGGCCAGATTTCAGAAAGAAAAAATGTAGCGTACAAAAGGCAAGATGCGATATGTTAATACTATTTATGTCAACTAGAATACACATAAAAAACGCATCTATAACAATACATAGTATTTAAACATCAAAACTTAGTCTGGAAGGATATGCACTAGAAGAGAATGGAATAGAGCTGGGCTTCCCAGGAGTAAAAGGGACTTTTGTTATCATTTTTATTAAACAAAGACTAAAAGGCTAGGCAGAGTGGCTCATGCCTGTATTTCCAACACTTTGGGAGGCCAAGGTGGGTGGATCACCTGAGGTCAGGAGTTTGAGGCTGAGCCAGGAGAAGGCTTGAACCCAGGAGGTAGAGGCTGCAGTGAGCAGAAATGGCACCATTGCATTCCAACATGGGCAACAAGAGCGAAACCTCGTCCAAAAAAAAAAAAAAAAAAAGAGCCTCCCGAGTAGCTGGAATTACAAGGGAATTACAAGCAACCACGCCCAGCTAATTTTTGTATTTTTAGTAGAGATAGGGTTTCTCCATGTTGGTCAGGTTGGTCTCCAACTATCATGACTCACTGCAGCCTTCACCTCTTGGGCTCAGGTAATACTCCTACCTCAGCCACCAGAGTAGCTGGGACTATAGGCACATGCTACCATGCCAACTAATTTTTAAATTTTTTGTAGAAATGGGGTCTCATTACATTGCCCAGGCTGGTCTCAAACTCCTGGGCTTAAGCACTCCTCCTGCCTCAGTCTCCCAAAGTGCTGGGATATGTGAGCAAATTTCTGTGTTTATTTTTTTTTTTGAGACAGAGTTTCGCTCTTGTTACCCAGGCTGGAGTGCAATGGTGCGATCTCGGCTCACTGCAACCTCCGCCTCCTGGGTTCAGGCAATTCTCCTGCCTCAGCCTCCTGAGTAGCTGGGATTACAGGCACGTGCCACCATGCCCAGTTAATTTTTTGTATTTTTAGTAGAGACAGGGTTTCACCACGTTGACCAGGATGGTCTACGTGATCCACCCACCTTGGCCTCCCAAAGTGCTGGGATTACAGGCTTGAGCCACCACACCGAGCCCTTTTTTTTTTGAGACGGAGTCTCACTCTGTTGCCCAGGCTGGAGTGCAGTGGCGTGATCTTGGCTCACTGCAACCTCCGCCTTCCTGGTTCAAGGGATTCTCTTGCCTCAGCCTCCTGAGTAGGTGGGACTACAGGCACACGCCACCACGCCCAGCTAATTTTTTTTTTTTTTAAAGATGGGGTTTCACCATGATGGCCAGGCTGGTCTTGAACTCCTGACCTCAGGTGATCCACCCACCTCGGCCTCCCAAAGTGCTAGGATTACAGGCGTGAGCCACCGCGCCCAGCCTAATTTTTTATATTTTTAGTAGAGATGGGGTTTCACCACATTGGCCAAGATGGTCTCGAGCTGACCTCATGATCCACCCTCCTCGGCCTCCCAAAGTGCTGGGATTACAAGTGTGAGCCACCACACCTGGCCGCAAATTTCTTAAAATAAATCTCAATCGCTCTCAGGCTCTCTATATATAATACTTAGTCATACATTGCTTAATGATAGGGATATGTTCTGAAAAAAGTGTTGTTAGGTAATTTTGTCATTGTGTAAAAATGCCATGTACTTACACGAAACTAGATGGCAGCTTATATATTATTTATATATTTTTTCATACGAAAAACCAAACATCCCAGCACTTTACTATCAATCATTTCCCCTACTTGTCCTGCAATGCCAATATCAAGTGCCATTAGCAGGTTTCTGTGTATGTTCCATTATAATCACATGGAACCACCATTGTATATGCAGTCCATCGGTGACTGAAACATCATTATTCAGTGCATGACTGTACCCACACACTCGTGACATACACACATGTGGGTAGATATATGTATCTATGTGTGTACACACATATCCTCTCAGTTCTGTTTCTCTGTAGAACCCTGACTAATAAGCCAGTGTTTTAAGTTTGGAGGCAGCCATGGTTTCTCAACAACTACATGGCTACAATAAATACAATGTCTGTCACACTGAGAAGGCAGAAAAGGCTGCCTTGGGGGAGGAAGGGGCAATGACAGGCCATAGTAGACACAGTGGGTTTAAACATATATTGTTTGTCTTCAGGGAAAGTGTATCTCATGAAAAGATAAACTTCTTCAGCCAGGCAGGCTTCTTGTTGCATGTGTATTTCCTAGTGACAATCTCCATCTTACCTGTTGGCAAGATGCATTCTAGAGGACATATGTCCACATTCCCATGGAGTGGGATGAAGAAGAGCTAGAGAAGTGACCTCTGTCCTTCCTGTACCCAAGATTCTTTCCCAGGGAAATTCTCCATGTTTGTTTTACCAAAACCTCCAGTTGGCCGGCCCTGAGATGGAGCACTCTCCGGACTGTCCTCCCACCTCCTATGGCTGGGCTCTGCTTTGCCCACAAGCTGTCAGCAGCCTCAGGAGGGCTGGTTACACACACACACAACACTGTAATCTGCTCAACGCAACTCCAAATACCACACATGCCCTGCTATGAAGTGACTCCCAAAGATAAGCTGGTACCCCTTTCCCAGTAGAGATTCCTTGATTTCAAAGAAAACATATTTGAATCATTTCAATATTCTGCTTTTTTAGCCAGGCATGGTAGCTCATGCCTGTAATCCCAACACTTTGGGAAGCTAAGGAGGGCTGATGACTTGAGCCCAGGAGGTAAAGGCTGCCGTCAGCTTCATTCACACACACAGCACTCCAGCCTCAATGACGAGACTGTCTCACAAAAAAAAAAAAAAAAAAAAATCTATACGTACGTTCATTTTAGTTTGACTCTTGCAAATCAAGACAACTCAAGCACAGGGCACAGTGGCTCACACCTGTAATACCAGCACTCTGGGAGGCTGAGGTGGGTGGATCACATGAGGTCAGGAGTTCAAGAGCAGCGTGGCCAACATGGTGAAACGCAGTCTCTACTAAAAACACAAAAATTAGCCGGGCGTGGTGGCACAGGCCTGTAATCCCAGCTACTCAGGAAGCTAAGGCAGGAGAATTGCTTGAATCCAGGAGGCGGAGGTTGCAGTGAGCTGAGATCGTGTCACTGCACTCCAGCCTTGAGACAGAGCAAAACTGTCTCAAGAAAAAAAGAAATCTCAATCAAGAAACAAGAATGAAGGTATAGAAACAATGATTCCAGATGATAACAATATATATTATTAACTCACTTCTTGACATGCACTTTCTATATAATTGGTGTGAATGAAAGACTTCTCCATTAGATCATAAGGATATTCCAAATATAGGTGGATCCTCTACTGTCCCAATTAGATTATAGCTGAAAATGTTTTGGGGGCAATTTGATTAGATAACTGTAAATGAAAGAATCTGGGCCCGCGCAGTGGCTCACACCTATAATCCTTGGCCTTTGGGAGGCCAAGGCAGATGAATCCTTCGAGGTCAGGAGTTCAAAACCAGCCTGACCAACATAGTGAAACCCTGTCTTTACTAAAATACAAAAAAAAAAAAAAAAAAAAAAAAATAGCCAGGCATGGTGGCACATGCCTATAATCTCAGCTACTTGGGAGGCTGAGGCAGGAGAATCACTTGAACCCAAGAGGTGGCCATGGCAGTGAGCCAAGATCACACCACTGCACTCCAGTCTGGGAGACAGAACAATACTCCCTCTCAAAAAAAAAAAAAAAAAAAAAAATCTATATTATTAGATGTAAATATCCCATTTAAATATTAAAATATGATACACTTAAAATACCTTAAGGTATTAATAGAGTAACACATATACACATGTATATATTATATACATGAATATATAAACATTAAATGCATGCTAAAGTAGAAAGCTTTCCGGTTTACCCTCAGCTCTCGCTCACACTTTAGGAAAACATTTATTTAAAGTCTACAGCGGCATTGGCATTTTCACACCAGTTCCTGTGATTAGAGCTACATTTTGTGAGTTTTCCAAAACATATCTTCCTCACTTCAATCTAAGTTATTTGAATAAAGTTCTTAACTTGTTTCTTTCTTTTTTTTTTTTAAGAGTCTCACTTTGTTGCCCTGGCTGGAGTGCAGTGGTACGATCTCCACTCATCGCAAACTCCACTTCCTGGGTTCAAGCAATTCTCCTGCCTCAGCCTCCCGAGTCACTGGGATTACAGGCACCTGCCACCATGCCTAGCTAATTTTTGTATTTTTAGTAGACACGGGGTTTCACCATGTTGGTCAGGCTTGTCTCAAACTCCTGACCTCAGGTGATCCGCCCGCCTTGGCCTCTCAAAGTGCTGGGATCACAGGCATGAGCCACTGTGCTGGCCAACTTGTTCCATTTTTAAATGATCTTTAAAAGTCTTGTTTACAAAGAAACCCGACTCTTGTTACTGTGAGGTCAGATGCTCTGGAATATTAGTAGATTTTTTTAAACCACCCTCTTCCTTTTTAAAACTACGATTTCCTTAGATGACCTCCAAAACATCCAAAACCAGCACTGACTAAGGTCATTTTGAAGTAATGTGTGTTCTCTAAATACTACTTTGTTCAATATAAAATAATTGCAAGACCCTCCCACAGTGAGAGAGAATTTGTAGAGACTTAAATATAAGGCAACTCTCATTTCTGATCACTTTTTTGGGGGGCTGGGGGCAGAATCTCACCTTATATTTGGGCCTATGTGTTAAGCTGTATAACTTATTTTCCACATTTTCTCTCAAATGTTCTTTTCCCTCAGCAGGTGGTGAGGGCAATATGGTACTGCGTCCTAAGTAGAATTCCCCAAGCTAGAATTGGGGACTCCAGAGGAATTCAAAGTGTGGGTCCCAAGAACACAGAAACAGGTGCGTCTCCCACAGGACAGTGTGGCCAACATGAGGTCAGCCGGCAGGGTCAACGGCTTTCTGTCTTTCTTCTTTCTCAAAAAATAATTTGCAGCTAGGTGTGGTGACTCACGCCTGTAATCCCAGCACTTTGGGAGGCTGAGGCGGGTGTATCACCTGAGGTCAGGAGTTCAAAACCGACCTGACCAACATGGAGAAACCCAGTCTCTACTGAAAATACAAAATTGGGCCAGGCGCGGTGGCTCACGCCTGTAATCCCAGCACTTTGGGAGGCCGAAGCAGGTGGATCACAAGGTCAAGAGATGGAGACCATCCTGGTCAACATGGTGAAACCCCATCTCTACTAAAAATACAAAAAATTAGCCGAGCATGGTGGCGCACACCTGTAATCCCAGCTACTCGGGAGGCTGAGGCAGGAGAACTGCTTGAACCCAGGAGGCGGAGGTTGCGGTGAGCCGAGATTGCGAGATTGCACTCCAGCCTGGGTAACAAGAGTGAAACTCCGTCAAAGAAAAGAAAAGAAAAGAGAGAGAGAGAAAGAGAGAGAGAGAGAGAGAGAGAGACGAAAAAGAAAGAAAGAAAGAAAGAAAAAGAAAGAAAGAAAGAAAGAAAGAAAGAAAGAAAGAAAGAAAGAAAGAAAGAAAGAAAGAAAGAAAATACAAAATTAGCTGGGCGTGGTGGCACACGCCTGTAATCCCAGCTACTCGAGACGCTGAGGCAGGAGAATCGCTTGAACCGGAGAGGCGGATGTTGCAATGAGCCAAGATTGCACCATTGCACTCCAGCCTGGGCAACAAGAGTGCAACTCTGTCTCAAAAAAATAAATAAATATAATAATAATAATTTGTATACTTGTGGTATGATACCTTTAAGGGTGCTGGGAGAGTATCTGTCGGAGATACTCCTGGGCAGCTGAGGGCACAAATCCTCCCAGACGCCATCACCACTTTCTGCAGGGGGTCAGACCCACCCTTTCTCTGTCCTCAGATGCCGGAGCCAACAGCAGGAATTAAGACTCTGAGCTCAGCCGCAGCACTGCTAGAAAGCACTGCCGACAGCCATGAGAGCCAGAGAGGGCTGTAACAGACGGAACATCCTGAAGAAAGGCATGAATATCTTGGGAGATTCCAGGGAGTCCCCATCATTACCTATTTCAATAACTGAAGTGGAAAGGACAATGGGCAATATTCTAAGCTATAAAGATGCTCATCGCAGCCAATGCATTTCTGTTTCAAGGGGAGGGGGAGGCAGAAAAAAATGTGCAGTGCTGACAAACATACGTCACAGGGACAGTGGGTCAGGAAGGAGGAAGCCCAAGCAGCTAGGACTAAGGAGGGTGGCTGGAATTTAGCTACAGACAGCACAGGCTCCTCCAGCCCAGCTGACCAAGTCCAGCCTCTCACCAGTAGCCGTGAATGGATTACGTCCTGAAGGAACATACAGACAGAGCATGACTGGAACTTTGATAGTTGCAAAGTTTCTCTTTCTCTTTGGGATTTTCTCCATTATGAAAACTGACCTTTATCTGGGGGCAGTTGGCTCACACCTGTAGTCGCAGCACTCTGGGAGGCCAAAGCAGGCAGATCGCTAGAGGCCAAGAGTTCAAGACCAGCCTGGTCAACATGGCAAACCCCATCTCCACTAAAAATACAAAAAATTAGCCAGCAGTGGTGGCGCACATATGTAATTCCAGCTACTCTGGAGGCTGAGGCAGGAGAATCCACTTGAACCCGGGAGGCAGAGGTTCCAGTGAGCTGACATCATGCCACTGCACTCCAGCCTGGTGACAGAGCAAGACTCTATCTCAAAAACAAACAAAAAAACCTCATCTTTAATGCAAGCCTCATATGATGAATGAGCAAACTAATTCAATGATGTTAACAGCTGGCTGAAAAGTGACAAAACCCTTTAGAAAAAGCAGCAGCAGCAAACCCAGCACAAGGGGCCCAGGAGTTAAGTTTTATGAAGGGCATCCATAGTTGGCGTAGTGACAAACACATGTGCAGTCCCTTGCTCACTCTACCCTCACCACAAACCTGAGAGTGACAAACTTTATCCCCACTTTATAGTTGAGAAAAGCAAGGCAGGGATGCTAACTAGCTTTTCCCAAAGACTCATGGGGCAGCTGCATTCATTCATCCGTTTGAGACAGAGTCTTGCTTTGTCACTCAGGCTGGAGTGCAGGTGGCATGATCTCAGCTCACTGCAACCTCCACCTTCCAGGTCTAAGCGATTCTCCTGCCTCAGCCTCCTGAATAACTGAGATTAGAGGTGCATGCCACCACACCCGGCTAATTTTTGTATTTTTAGTAGAGACAGGGTTTCACCATGTTGGCCAGGCTGGTTTGGATCTCCTGACCTCATGATCCGCCCACCTCAGCCTCCCAAAATGCTGGGATTACAGGCGTGAGCCACTGCACCTGGCTGACAGCTGCATTTAGAACAGTATCCTTCAATAAGACAGTTTGTGTGTGGGGTCAGGCAGAAGTGAGCAAGTGACATACCACCTTACATTACCTATGCAACTCAGGGTATGTCAAGGCCCTTCTGAGCCTCAAGTCCAGAACTGCAAAATGATGATAATCCTCAGCTATCTAGCTGTGGGATCCGCTAGTTAAAATTCCCATCACAAAGCCTGACAAATAGCAGGTCATCAGTAAAGGTTACCAGCTGCACCTGCCCAATCCGGCCCCACCCCACTCCACCCCTGCTGCCTTCCTTTTCCTAATCTTTCTGAACCTATGTCTCTTAGGTGCTGGTAGAGATTTATCAGAACTCTGGCTGACACACATATGTAGAAGAACGTAGTAACACGTGGGGTGGAACACTCAATAACTGGGATTCACCTCATCACACGGACCTAGGCTTGCTCTCAGTCTAATTTGCTTTATGTCTCTTCATTAAGGAAAGGCTTTTTGTCCACTTGAATCCAATTTGAAGCTGTAAATTTAGTGGCATCAAAAGTTTTTGATTTTGTAGGGGACACCTGATACCCTGGTCCTTGAACTAAATATAGACCCATGAAGGGCCACAGTTTCAGAAGCAGCACCGATCGATCCCTGTGTGGCAGCAAAGGCCTCTCAGAAGCCCTCGCCTGGCTTGAAGGAGACCACGTCTGCAGATGACAGCTGAGGCTCTGGCTCCAAAAACCACACAGCTTATAACTAACTCACCCGACCCAATGCCCAGTACCTCATACACCCACATACAATGCTGCTCTGAAGTTTAAAGGTGGTGAGATGCTCCAGAGCAGTGGTGGTGGGCTGGTCTGAATAGCCCCCAGCTGTCTACACCGGGGCTATGTTGAAGTCTAGGTTGGAATCCGCTGTCTGGATGCCATTAGGTTTTTTTTTTTAATGAGCTCAGAGCATGACTATCTGGTTTGCATTTGCAGCCAGAGGGAATCAATAAAGAACAACAGAGAAGCTTTTTAAAGGATACCTAGTGTAGGTTAGTTGCACCAGAAAGCAGCCAGGAAATGACCAGGTGGTGTAACCGGAGCAAAATGAGGACAGAACTCCGTCAAGCCACGGAGGTCTGGTACCATCCACCGCATTTACTAACTGGGCTGCAGACAAGGCCCTGAACCTCGTGGCCTGAGCTTCACCTTCAAAGGATGAAGCTGGATTAGACATGCTCCTAGATCCCTTCTAGCTAGAAAATTCTATTATTTTAGTCCTTTAAGGAATCCCTGGCTCTGAAAAACATGATAGTTAATTGCTAGCACAGTGTGATGCCTATAACTGCCACTCGGTAATTGCTTACCACATGAAGAACCGACACTGATAAGGACACAAATGAAAGTTACAAAAATTCACTAACAGGCCGGTCTCGATGGCTCACACCTGTAATCCCAGCACTTTGGGAGGCCGAGACAGGCGGATCACGAAGTCAAGAGATCGAGACCATCCTGGCCAACATGCTGAAACCCTGTCTCTACTAAAAATACAAAAATTAGCTGGGTGTGCTGGCATGCACCTGTAATCCCAGCTACTTGGAAGGCTGAGGTAGGACAATCGTTTGAACCCAGGAGGTGGAGGTTGCAGTGAGCCAAGATCACGCCACCCTGGCGACAGAACGAGACTGTCTCAAAAAAAAAAAAAAAAGAAAGAAAGAAATTTCACTAACAGGCTGCACTCCAGCCTGGCGACAGAGCAAGACTGTCTCAAAAAAAAAAAAAAAAAAAAATTTCTCTAACAGTCACAGACATGATATCTGCATACATACTAGAGACACATGCACTCCGATATGTATGTTACTATTCTACTTCAAGAGTCGCCATCCTGAGGCTGGGTGTGGTGGCTCATGTCTGTAATCCCAACAATTTCAGAGGCCAAGCCAGGCTGATTGCTTCAGTTCAGGAGTTCCAGACCAGTCTGGACTACATGGCAAAACTCTTTAAAAAAAAAAAAAAAGAGAGAGAGAGACAAAAATTAGCCAGGTGTGATGGTGTCTGCCTGCAATCCCAGCTCGGGAGGCTGAGGTGGGCAAATTGCTTGAGCCAGAGAGGTGGAGGTTGCAGTGAGCTGTGATTACACCACTGCACTCCAGCCTGGGTGACATTGAGACCCTGTCTCAAAAAATAAATAAATAAATAACAAAAACAAAAACACAAAGTAACAAAAGCAAAGAGTTGCCATCCTGGTTTAAAAAAAAAAAAAAGTTGCCATCACACACAGGTGGCTCAGATCTGTAATCCCAGCACTTTGTGAGTCTGAGGCAGGAGGACTGCTTGAGCCTGGGAGTTCATGACCAGCCTGGGCAATACAGGGAGACCCTCATCTCTACAAAAAATAAAAATAAAAATTAGCTGGGCAAGGTAGTGCACGCCTATGGTCCCAAGTACTTGGGAGGTTCAGGTGGGAAATCAACTGGGCCTGAGAGGTTGAGGCTGCAGTGAGCCGTGATCATGCCACTGCACACCAGCCTGAGAGAAAGTGCAAGAGACAGGCAGAGTGCAGCACCCGGGGCCAGCAACAACAGCAGGGAAACTGCTAGGACCTCTAGGTCTGAAGGGCAAGGTCAGGAAGCAGTGTTATCAGACTGTGCAGGAACTGGAGCTAGGAAACTGAGTTGCCTCAAGCGCTTAGAAGAAATCAGCCATTGTCAGAACCCCTGCAAGGTTAGGGGACCACGAGGGAGATAAATACCCAGATGCTCTTTCCTCCTCCTCTGATCCCCTGCCAGTGCCTCCCATTGGCTGAATCCAACCAGAAACCGCAGGCAAGGGAGTCCAGATGCTGCAGTTCAGAGACACAATCCTCTTAGGACCGAGGAAGACTGAGAATGAATTGGGGGCAGGGGGAAGAATGACACATACAAACAACTGTAAGTTACACACACACACACACACACACACACACACACACACGCATATATATCTGGTATGTATTTGGGACAAATATGTCTTGACTTCTAAAAAAAATTATTTGTTCTACAAAAGGGCTTCACCATAGGATTAATCTAAATGGAAACATCAAGGTCTTCTAGTGTATCTCAGTTACAACTTACAAAAACAGAAATTTTTTTATGTGTAAATTTCTTCAGGTGTAAACTTCCACAGAATGCTTACATTGTTTAAGGAATGGCATATTTATTTACAGGGGGACTGATAAGTGAAACCGTTAAGACAACAGCCCACTAACCAGACAAAACTGTCTCTAACAGCTTTCCTTCATCACCTGTCCCCACAAGCTCACCAATTTCCAGAGATAAAACCAGCTCCAAAGTTCTCACCCTCATGCATTTTTCCACTTAGATTTTCTATCAGTTGGCAATTAAAACAAGCATCTCAGAGGTCAGCCAAAAGTCTTAGCAAATGTAAGAGCCAGTTAAATAATCTCTAGATTCAAAAGTGTAGTAAGACGTGTTAGGAGAAACCACCTGGAAAACCATGCTAGGCAGGCAACGTTTCAGGGATGCACATTTCAAATGGCGATTCCCTGCCAACCAATGCTTAACAGGAACCCCTGGAAAAAGTTACAAAAATATCAGTACTTCCAAAATGCCATTTTGAGATGGAGTTTCGCTCTTGCTGCCCAGGCTGGAGTGTAATGGTGCGATCTCGGCTCACTGCAACCTCCACCCCCTGGGTTCAAGCGATTCTCCTGCCTCAGCCTCCCTAGTAGCTGAGATTACAGGCACCCACCACCACACCCAACTAATTTTTTTGTATTTTTAATAGAGAGTAGAGATGGGGTTTCACTATGTTGGCCAGGTTGGTCTTGTTGCTGAGTTTGGCTGCTGGCAATGGGAATCTGGAACTGGGATGCTAAGGGCTTCTCTGAAGATTATGGGGTTAGGAAGATAGAGAGTAACATATAAGGTGGATGGAGACTAGAACGGTCAAAAAAAAAGGTCTCATGGCTGGGCATGGTGGCTCATGCCTGTAACCAGCACTTTGGGAGGCTGAGGCAGGCAGAATCACTTTCAGTCAGGAGGTTGAGACCAGCCTAACCAACATGGTGAAACTCTGTCTGTACTAAAAAATAAAAAAATAAAAATTGGCCACGAGCAGTGGCTCAGGCCTATAATCCCAGCACTTTGGGAGGCTGAGGCAGGCAGATCATTTGAGGTCTGGAGTTCGAGACCAGCCTGGCCAATGTGGTGAAATTCTGTCTCTACCAAAAATACAAAAAAAAATTAGCTGGGCGTAGTGGCACACGCCTGTAATCCCAGCTACTTGGGAGGCTGAGGCAGGAGAATTGCTGAACCCAGGATCCTGGCAGAGGTTGCAGTGAGCCAAGGTGAGGCCACTGCACTCCAGCCTGGGCGAAAAAGCAAAACTTTGTCTCAAAAAAATAAATTAAAATAAATCTGGGACTGGTGGCACTTGTCTGTAAATCCCAGCTACACAGGAGGCTGAGGCAGGAGAACTACTCGAATCCAGAAGGCAGAGGTTGCAGCGAGATCACATCATTGCAGTCCAGCCTGAGGAACAAAGTAAAACGCTGTCTAAAAAAAAAAAAGTCCCATAGTCATCTCCCAATTAATGACCACATGTATGAGATTTCTCAGTATGGTCTCAGTCTCAGCTATTCTAGCCCATACTACTTTAAATGTCTAGTCCTGGGGAAACAGGTGCACAAATTGTGGTCCTTCAACTCAATGGGAAAATGTGCTGCCATTAAAATTAATGAGTCTGGGCCAGCACAGTGACTCACCTGAGGTCAAGAGTTTGAGAACAGGCTGGCCAACATGGGAATATCCCCATTTCTACTAAAGATTCAAAAAATTAGCTGGTCGTGGTAGAGCTTGCCTGTAGTCCCAGCTACTTGGGAGGCTGAGGCAGGAGAATCAAGGGAACCCTGGGGGCAGATGTTGTAATGAACTGAGATCACACCACTGCACTCCAGCCTGGGCAACAGAGCAAGATTGCCTCAAAAAAAAAAAAAAAAAAAAAATTTAATGAGTCTGTATTAACATGAGCAATCCTTGTGTTACTCATTCATCATAGTGTTTGAATACCAACAGATGGTGTAGGGTGTTCAGGATGTAAGGATGAACTATAGGGTGTAAGGCATACATGTTACGTAGTACCGAATGGGCTCTGGAGGCATTCCATTCATAAAAATAGGGAGAGCACATCATTGCCACTTGAGACAGACAGGAACCAACAGTGTACTTTCTCCTGCATTCTGGTCTCCCCGACACCACCAAGCATTTCCGGAGTTTGTTTCATCTTTGAAACTTCCCAAAGTCTGGCAGGCACAAAGGGTGGAAGATGGAGGAAATGATACAAAGTCCGCAGGCAGACTTTTCAGCCTCCCTGGTCCCAGGAGGGAGGGATAACTAGCGCTTCGCTTTTCACAGGCGGGAGCATGAGGTGTCTTCAGTGCTGCGCCATTTAAAAACAGTCCTCACTTCAGTGACAGCCCAGGATGTTTGCTCCCTAGGATCGGTTGGCAATCTCCAAAGCAAAGAACTCCCCCTTTTCCCCAAATGTCTCAATAGTTATTCCTTCCTTTGAAGTTGGAAGAGAGAATAAAATTACTTTCATCTGCCTAGAAAATAGGCTGAGTAGAAAGGAACTGTACTTGGAATCAGAAGGAGAATCAAAGGAGGAATCGAGCAGCTCAAAGCTGAGTGAGCCCATGGTCTGCCTCATCTCTTTTTGGAGATGAGTGATACATAAATAAATCTCCACCTGCATCACTTTGGCAGCAAATGATATCAAACCCTGACTCAAAGTGGCTTAAACAGGGAGCAAATTAATCATCTCACATGCCAGAAGTGCAGAGGAAGGGTGGGGCCCCGAGCTGTGCTTCTCTGGGACTCTCTGGGACCTGCTACTTACTCTCTCCTGCACTGTGGCTTCATCCTAAGGCTGGAGGCAAGATGTCCGTGCCAGTTTACACAGCAACACAGAGAGGAAGCAAAAGAGCCATCTACTTTGCGTTTTTCTTGGTAGTGAGTACACCTTCCCTAGAACCTCCATGATGGACTTTCCTTCACTCCTTAGCCTTTGATAGTGAACTCTTTCTTACAGCTTGTCTCTGGGGTGTGGAATGGAGATACATGACCGGAACAGGCTGATCATCTCAGACTACAATGCTTCCAAGTCCACCTGAGCACACCGCCACCCAAGGGGCTGCTGGTGAGGACCAAAGGAGGAAACAGACACGAATATATTTCAAAGTTAATGTGCTGCAGAGTTATCCTCATAGACAGAACCCTGATAAGCCGCAGCATCACATATGTTCAGAAATGCCTTCTGCTCAATACTCCACACAAAAGCAGCAGCATAACGAATGACCCGATGGAGAAGACACTACCATGCCAACAGGAATGACCAACAGCCACTCTCTTCAGGGGCTGGGGCATTTCAAATGATTACTGCTGAGATGAAAGTTCAATGTGGCCTATCTGCAATGTGGCTCCAGGTGGGCACCTGCAACAGGAGAAGGAACTGAGAGGAGGGTTCTGGGGCAAAGTTGGGGGTGTCAGGCAGGGAGATTCATTTTCCAATAAACACAATGGTCCGATATGAGTGAGGGTGAAGGGAGGGATGTTAAACTCGAAAAGATAAAGAGAACAGGAGAAACAATGATTGCAACACAATTTTGGAAGCTGGAATGCAGACAAACTAGTGGTAACTGACTTAGCAGATGAGGGAAACTGAAAACCTAGCACAGCACAGCAGTGTGGAAACCAGGTTGGGATTTATGCCCCCAACAGCTCTGAAACTGGGGGCAACATGCACTGGTGGGGAAGGGGCCCCAAATCACCTTAGCCCTAGATACGAAGTGAAGGCTGAAATTCTGCAACTTGTGTGCTCTGCTGTGTCATGGCAACTCCAGACTCAGAGACACCAGGTGTAGCTGAGGGCAGGGGCTAAAAAACAGGCGAATAAGACAAAGTCATCATACCACATGGTTAGACTTTCAGACTCCTTCTCATCTGGCTCCCAGAACACTGCAGCCAACCAATTCCCTTTGTATGGGATTTCTCTTCACCGGATCAGTTTCCCCAGAGAACAAATATTTTCTACTATCAGGTGGGAGTCCTCCAATAAAACCACCAGTGGGCTAATCCTACAGCAGAGGTCCTCTATGCTAGCTGCATATTTGAATCACCTCAGAGCTTTAATATTCACAACTACCTGGGCCCCAGCAAGAGTGTATGTCATTCAGTTACTCAGCAAATACTTATATGTATGGAAAGGCTAGTGTGTGCCAGGCATTGTTCTAGATTCGGAGACATTGTTCTGTCTCCTTAGTAAGAAGTAACTATTCCTGGGTATACTTAATCTATGTAGACCTTCCAGTTAGCTTTTTAGTGAGTGACCAGTCGAGGATCATTAGACATTTGAAGAAAGCCTTTAATGTGGAAGTGATTAAAAACCAAAAGCAACACACACACACACACACACACACACACACACACAAAACTAAGAGGAAATCAGAGGAAACAAACAGTGCAGGGAGCAGAGAAATGCTTCAAAGAAGCTGTAATTGAGATCCACAAAGAATTGAGAAGCTTTTCATCCAAGAAACAGTAACAGGAGGTTATAAAAAGAAAATTTCAGATATTTTTAAGGCTTTCTGGGGAATTAGAAATATGACAGACATAAAAATTGAACATATGGGTTGGAAGACAAAAATGAGGAAATTTCCCAGGAAGTAGAAATGTTGTTTTAAAAAGGAAATAGAAAGTATAAGAAAAAAGGTAATAAAGCCACCCAACAGGTTCATTTTGCCTGCTGCCCAGATAGAGCCAAGTTATCAAGACAGGGGAATTGCAATAGAAGAAGTTTGACACAGAGCCAGCTGAATAGGAGAATAGAATTTTATTACTCAAATTAGTCTCTCTGAAAATTCGAATGCTATGGTTTCTTAAGGATAGTTTGGGGGACAGAGTGGCTAGGTAATGGGTGCTACTTACTGGCTGGGGATTCAATCATGGGGTGTGGAAAATAGTCCTCATGCCGAGTCCATTTCCTGGTGGACAACATGGTGAAACCCAGTCTCTACTAAAGATACAAAAATTAGCCGAGCACAGCGATGCATGCCTGTGGTTCCAGCTACTTGGGAGGCTGAGGCACGAGAATTGCTTGAACCCAGGAAGTAGAGGTTGCAGTGAGCTAAGATCATGCCACTGCATTCCAGCCTGGGCAACAGAGACTCCGTATCAAAAAAAAGAAAAAGGAAATGCCAAAACCTGAAAAGACATCTCAAAAGGCCAATCTTAGGTTCTATAATAGTGATGTTATCAAGCTGCAAATCTTGTGGCTAATGGCTAATCTGTTAGTCCTATCTGATCCCCAGGCAACATGGGGATTTGTTTTGGGGAAAGGGCTCTAATCATCTTTGTTTCAAAGTTTATAAACTCCTCCCAAAGTTAGTCTGGCCTACACCCAGGACAACCTGGAGGTTAGAAGCAAAATAGATCAGAGCTCGTTCACCATCACAGCTGTTCTAATTTTTGCAAAGGTGGTTTCAGTAAGAAAATTAGAGATTCAAAGCATGAGGGTCTCCTTCCAGTTGACTGGGTGTTCCAGAAGAAAAGGAAGGAAAGTATTATTATTATTTTAACTCTAAGAAACTGGCCAGGCACAGGAGCTCATGCCTGTAATCCCAGCACTTTAGGAGGCCAAGACGGGCGGATCATTTGAAGTCAGGAGTTGGAGAAAAGCATGGCCAACATGATGAAACCCTGTTTCTACTGGAAAAAAAAAAAAAAAAAAAAAGGCCTGGTGTGGTAGGTCACATCTGTAGTCCTAACACCCTGGGAGGTCAAGGAAGCGGATCACCTGAGGTCAGGAGTTCGAGACCAGCCTAGCCAATATAGTGAAACCCTGTCTACTAAAAAGACAAAAATTAGCCAGGCGTGGTGGTACATGCCTGTAGTCCCAGTTACTTGAAGGCTGAGGCAAAAGAATTGCTTGAACCCAGGAGGCAGAGGTTGTAGTGAGCTGAGATTACGTTACTGCACTCTAGCCTGGGCAACAGAGCGGGACTCCATCTCTAGAGAATAAAAAGAAGTGGAAGTTGGTGAGGGGTAAGGTGAATGAGTACCATCCTAGTTATAAGCTTTGTAGACATATTTGACTTTTTAAATTATACGTGTATATATAGTTTTGATAAGGAGGGAAGCTCAGGCTATGAACCAGATTACAGGAGAACCCAATAAAATCAGGAAGAACCACTCTATGGAGGACAGAGCAACAAGCACTTGGCCAAACCTCTGGGAAACAGAAGACTTGATGAAGAACGCAGGGCTGAGCAAAAGGGCACAGCAAGTAAGAGACCTCAATGTCCCAGGAAACGGGGTGCAATGAACTTGCCATTCTCTTCAATGACACCTTCCTTAAGTGTGACCTGCCTGGAGCATACAGAGATGAGCAGGAACTGAGGCTCAAGTGCCAGGTGCCCCGCTGGGAAATTTAGGCACGTGAGGAGGCAGAAAGGCAGCTGGTGACTATGCTGCTCTTAGACCGGTCTTCCCTTCATCCCGAAATTAAAGGGAGACTGAAAATTACACCCAGCAACACAGGCTCAGAGAGGCTGAGGGCGCAGAGCAAGCCTTAAGTCCACACTTCGGTTCCCCGACCCCCATCACTTTCCCTTTCTTGTTTGTTTGATTTGTGGCCCACTCTGAGAACTCTTTCTTTTCTTAATTAAGACCTGTCCCAGGCCTCTTTCCCCAAAGGCTATCTTGTCTGAGAGTCCCGCAGCTGCCCCCAGGGGACTTGGGTTTGACTGGAGATCCCGAAGAATTAACTGTGGGTGGGTCCCGCTTGCCCTCAACTCATTAACATGTCAGCAAAAGGAGCCCCGGGCGCCTACAGGTTAGTATTCAACGGCCAGATTCGCAGTTGGGATGAGACTATGCCCTTGCAATTCACCTGCAAAGTTGAATTGAGAGTTGCAAAACAGTGTAAGAGTGCAAAGTCTGAAAGTACTATAGTTTGTGTGTAAAGATATTTCTATATTATTCAGAGTTTACAAGTATCAAACTCAGCCTGGCCGATTTCTATGAAAAGCATTAACTGTTTACATTCGCAGAGCCTTTTTCTCCCAGACATGGTTCCCAGGATGACAGCTGTGGTTACCTCCTTTTTTCCCTCCATCTCACGAGACAAGACTGACTTCATTTCACTTCCAGTGTTTATAAACTACCTAGCAGAGAGGAGCTACGGGACAGAAAATGCCATGCTCTTTCCAAACATCCTGCATCTCTAAAACTCTGATTTGTGGATCCTATAACCAAAACATTTTGTGAATCAGTGGTGGGGCTGTTATCCAAGCAGGCTGTTTAGTAGTTTGGGGGCAAAGATCTGTCCCCAAAGGAGATCACGACTTCGTGTGGGAGCATCCACAGTTCCCGCGGGTAGAGAAGGCAGCTTTGCTCCGCCTCTCCTCCTGCTAGCGACGGCTGAGGACACTGACGGATGCCCGGGCTGCTGCCATGCACCCCGCTCCTACGGGGGCCTCAACTGCACAGCCCCGGGTTCTGAAACCGCCTTGGTCTCGGAGCGCCCCTCCCCCCCGCCACCTGTCCCCTCTGCGCACTCCTTCCCTGCCCGTCACACATACCCGGGGCGCCTCCTTCCGTCCAGCCATTGACAGACCAGCTCCAAGTCACTCACTCCTCCCGAGGAACACAAACCGTCTCTCCACACGCATATCCCCCGCTTTAAAAACAACACACCCCAGGAGTTCGGGAGACGCGAAGAGCAAACGCTTAGGGGGCGGCTCCTAGGCTATGGCTAACTCTCCACGTTTGTGGATTCAGCCTCCATCTGCACCCCGACCCGGATCAGACCGGGAAGCCTGAGGCTGTCGTCGCCGGAGAAGCCCAAGTCCTACCTCCAGTTCTGAAGTCACCTTCGGAAGGTTCCCGTCCGCCCCCCTCTCCGGGGCTCCTGGGAGTCTCCACCAATTGCAGCCGCGCGCGGGGTAATCCGCTCGCCGGGCCGGGCTCCGCGCCCCCGGGGCGGTTCATTAGCCTAATCAGCTGCGGGCGGCCCGGGGGCGGCGGCCAGCTGCCCTCCCGGAACGCGCAGCTCCTGCAAGACTTCCCAAGGGCTGCTCTCCTCCCGCTCCGCGTCTGTGGGAGGACCCTCTCCTCCCTGCGCGCGGCGGTGGAGGAGGTTAGGAAAGCCTGTAATGCAATCCTAAACTCGGCTCGCCACTCCCCGCCTCACTTGTCAAAACCCCACAGCATTCCAGGATCCCTGCCCCGGTCACTCCCCTGGCCGGGAAAAGGAAACCGCCCTGCGGAGGATTTCAGGGAGTTTGGGGCTTCTCATCCAAGACACTTTTGTTGACACTAGGGGCTCAGGAGCTTCCTGGGGCAAACCGGAGCAGGCTAGAGGAGAAAGCGGCAGACCCCAGCCCCTCGCCTGCTACGAAAGTTCTCCCTCCCAGCCCTGGCCAGAAGCTCCACCCACCCCCATCAATTACACTTCACTGCCACTCCGTTTCATAATCCGCAGCAGCCTGGGTTCTTACGGGGGTGGAGCCCCCAGCTAAAATCACAACTATCGCACGGGGCAGGATGTCAGGGAACTTTCCAGAAATCTCCGGTCAGAGCCTTTCTGCTGGAGTAACCAGATTTACCACCGCGGAATTAGACTCGCCGGTGACCGCACGACTGAAGCATTTCCTTTATACCTTCTCCAGCGCCCCTACCCCTCCCACCTTCTGTGGGGTTCAGTCAACAAGCCATCCCCGGAGAGGCCTGAGTGGGCCTCGGCCCCGCAAGCCATCGCTCCAGCTGCAAACTGATGAGGAAGCCCGACCCACGAGGCCGAATTGTTTACATCACACCCACTGAGGCTTCCTGTCTTAAATTAATGGGAACACAAATAAGACAGGAAAAGAGTGTTTGCTTTTCTTAAAGCAGGGGAGGGGGCTGGCAGCGGGAGGGGGAGGGTCACCCCACATTTCACTGCTTTTCAAAACTTAGTTGTATTCTATTCATTCCATTTTTCTACTCCTGACACTTGTTGAAAAATAAAAGCGTCGCTGGTGCCAAACCTCAAACCCTTATGGAACCTCTGCTCAAAACACATTTCACCTGCCTAAAAAAGGCATCCAGGGTGGAGCTCCCAGGGACTTGAGTTAGAGGTATGGAGAGCTCCTGAGGTTGATGGCATCAATCTCAGTGCAAACAAACTCACTCAAGCCCTGGGCCTCCCTCCCGGGACTTGCACAGGCAGGTACACATTCACTCCACTCCTTGGGGTTGATGTTAGTCACACCCCAGTCTCACTCCACCCTTCTCTCTCTAAGCTCTGGTGCGGGCATCCAGCAGCTCCTGAAAGTAATGAGCTTTGCAAGGGACAGATCTGGTGGAATTCGAAGCAATTAATTATAATGGAGGAGGCAAAAGAAAGCTTCAATTCCCAGTACCATTACTGCCACTGGAATGGGTAATTAGAGCCGAAGAAGGGCCAACCCATGTCAAGCATGGGCTGGAAATCTGCCCACTCTCAGAAGCAGCCCCAGAGCACATAGGAAATAATGATCATCATGACCAGCCCTGGAATTACCCCTACTTGCTTCATTTGGGTCCGCACAACAGCCAAACCAGAAACAGGCAAGGAGTGTCAGGCCCTGCCAGTCCTCCTCTGGAAGAACCCAAAGGAAACAAAACCCCAGGATAAGGTTTGTTTCAAGGTGTGGGTATTGCAACCAACAATACCTCATGGAGTTTAGGCACCCATGAGAACAGGCTTTGTAGGCCAGTCCTCCACTGCAATTCCTGGGTCAAAGCAAATTAGGCTGATGATTTCATAAAGAGCGAAGATGCCGGGCACAGTGGCTCACGCCTATAATCCCAGCACTTTGGGAGGCTGAGTTGGGTGGATCACTGTTTGATACCAGCCTGATCAGCATGGAGAAACCCTGTCTCTACTAAAAATACAAAAATTAGCCAAGCGTGGTGGGGTATGCCTGTAATCCCAGCTACTCGGGTGGCTGAGGCAGGAGAATGACTTGAACCCAGGAGGCAGAGGTTGCAGTGAGTCGAGATCATACCATTGCACTCCAGTTTGGGCAATAAGAGCAAAATTCCATCTCAAAAAAAAAAAAAAGAGAGAAAAAGGCAAGGTCAAGGGTATTGGAACTCTCTAGCAGAACCTATCTGGCTTACAAATATTATAAGGGCCTCAATGAATGTTGCCTTCTCCTCCTTCCCTTTTCCTACTCTTCTGCCAAGAGGCAGTCGTCTTTCATTAGTATCCTGTACATTTCATGGGAATTAAGTTCAAATTGAATAATTTTCTAATAATTTCAGAAGTGCTCCTTCGCTTCCTTTCTATTTTTCCATGACAGTTCTCAACGTTTTAGCTTCTTTCCTCCTTCAATGCAGGTATACAATAAATTATGTGTGTACATCAGTGGCTCATGCCTGTAATCCCAACACTTGAGGAGCTAGAGGTGGGCAGATCACTTGAAGTCAGGAGTTTAAGACCGGCCTGGCCAACATGGTGAAATCCTGACTCTGCTAAAAATACAAAAATTAGCTGAGTATGGTGGTGGACACCTGTAATCCCAGCTACTCTGGAGGCTGAGGCAGGAGAATCACTTGAACCTGGAAGGCGGAGGTTGCAGTGAGCCGAGATCGCACCACTGCACTCCAGCCTGGGCTACAGAGGGAGACTCCATCTCAAGAAAAGAAAAGAAAGGGAGGCTAAAGTAGGCAGATCACTTGAGGTAAGGAGTTTGAAACCAGCCTGGCTAACATGGTGAAACTCCATCTCTACTAAAAATACAAAAATTAGCTGGGCGTGATGGCACACACCTGTGGTCCCAGATACTCTACTTAGAAGGCTGAGGCAGGAGAATTGCTTGAACCCGTGAGGTGGAGGTTGCAGTGAGCCGAGATCGCACCACTGCACTCCAGCCTGGGCTACAGAGGGAGACTCCATCTCAAGAAAAGAAAAGAAAGGGAGGCTAAAGTAGGCAGATCACTTGAGGTAAGGAGTTTGAAACCAGCCTGGCTAACATGGTGAAACTCCATCTCTACTAAAAATACAAAAATTAGCTGGGCGTGATGGCACACACCTGTGGTCCCAGATACTCTACTTAGAAGGCTGAGGCAGGAGAATTGCTTGAACCCGTGAGGTGGAGGTTGCAGTGAGCCGAGATCTCACCACTGCACTCGGGCTTGGAAAACAGACTAAGACTTCCTCTCAAAAATTAATTAATTAATTAAATTAAAAATAATAAAAACAAATGTATGGTTTTAAGTATAATGCAAATAAATACTCTGCCCCTGTCCTCATTTTTGTTGCCTAAACTCAGTTTAGGGCCTGTAAGTGCTGGGAATTAAAAATGTGGTGGCTCATGCCTGTAATCCCAGCACTTTGGGAGGCTGAGGTGGGCAGATCATGAGGTCAGGAGGGCAAGACTTGGTGAAACCCTGTCTCTACTAAAAATATAAAAATTAGCCAGGCATGGTGGCCAGCGCTTGCAAGCCCAGCTGTAGGAGGCTGAAGCGTCAGAATCACTTCAACCCGGGAGGCAGAGGTTGCAGTGAGCTGAAATCTCACCCTGCACTCCAGCCTGGGCAACAGAGCAAGACTCCATCTCAAGGGGGAAAAAATATGACCACATCTGTATAATACCTTAATTTCAGGAAAGCTTTTGCATACATATGCCATTCTCATCAGCAGCAGGCCAGAAAGATATGATCTGGTGCGTCTTTTCCCTAACCAGGGTTTCACTGCTGACTGGAAAAGAGATCAATAGCCCAGTAAACAAAGGGGTACTTAGAATGCAGTCTACAATTTTATCTTGGGTCTGGTTTAAATAATACTTGAAATTGCTACATGCACACCCAGGGTCTACAAATAACATTAATTTGAGTGAGAACTGCTGATATGTTAAGAGAATCCAAAGTAGCTTCCACACACTAAGGAAATGGTTCATTAAAAACAGTTTAGAGTTCAGCATGATGGCTGATTTCAAAGTGGTATCCTCAGGGGTGATGATCAAAATGACAGGCACAAATGGGGCTTAATGTCTAGATTCAAGAAAAACTGACAAAGAGGTGAGGATCACAGCAGATCATGCATTTAATAGGAATCTGCCTGCTGCACTAAGAAATAGGCAAGGCAGTGCTGGGGTGAACTCACATTGGTGGGAGTTTGACAGGAAAGGGAAGTGCCCCCCTTCTTCCTACCCCATAACAAAGAATTTTATAGCAGAGAGACTCTTTCTGGTGTGGGGGGCGGGTATGTCCAGTCTGATGCTCTTATTGTAAGGAAGATGTGGAAAGGTTCCAAAGCAGAACCTAAGTGATTAGACAGAAAATAGAACCTATGAGGGGAGGTTAAAGGATTTGGAGTTGTTTAGTCTAGAGTGAAAAAACATGATTAAAGACAAACTTAACAGTCTTTTCCTACTTGAAGAGTTATTATAAAAAGGATACTGACCAGCTGTTTGTCATCTCTACAGAGGACAGAAGAGGTAAGAGATTCAAAATACAACTTTAGAATTTTGGAGGCTGGGTGTGGTGGCTCAAGCCTGTAATCCCAGCACTTTGGGAGGCCGACGTGGACA